CTGAGTATTTATTACAGGACGTGCTGCAGGGAAAAGCCTCTTCTAAGGTTTTTTTTTTGCACCTGACGGCTGTTTTTTTGTTTCTCATACATAAACACTCTGCATACTATTTCATGTGACTCCGTTTATTTTGAAAAATCTCAACAGGATCTTGAGCTTTATTGTGAAAGGTTTATGTGGAAAATAAACAAGCGGACACGCGATGGTGTTACCGTCGTTGTTGCTAACAACAACGCATAAAACATATCCTTGTCCGTCCGTAGTGTGGTTATGTTAAATACAAGAGAGAAATTCTACGGTGACCATCAAAACGATGAAAAATTATTGACGTAAACAGTTTATTTTGCGACACCACGAAACAAATGACAGACGTTTTCATATCATCATCCGATCTATATCGTTATATCCAACAGCCCTATCTCTGAGTGCAACGGGTCACAGCAATTTCCTTTTAGAAGATAGTCTTGCTGCTCTGAAGATATCATGGTAATGGGGTAGTATCAGCATTTGAATGGGGCATTTACTTCCTTTCTTTTGGAGCAGTGAACACAGTGCAAATCATCTATTTTATGGTTGATCACAACGACAAAAAAAAAAAAAAGTTCCCTAAAATGAATCCTGCAGTTTTATCTCTGACGTCACTAGAAATGGAAAAAAAACTAACTGTAAAAAAAGAACAAAGACTGCAAGAGAGAGCAAAAATGTCCCCAGATTTTCACACTAAAAAGGGGAAGGGTAAAACAGACAATCTGTCAAAACAAAATGCTCTAATACAAATTTCCTCTCTTCGGCAGCAAATCCCGTGTGAAACATTAAGGCTTATTTGTGGTGAGGTTGGAACAAATGCCCATAGCACACTCAGCATGGAACACACACAAAAATCCTCCTCTCTTTCTGTTCATAAGTGCAAATTCATTCTGCTTTTGTCTCATCTCATGACAAATGCATACTGTCACTGTCACTGATGTGCTGTTTACTGTGGCATATAGCATCTTGTAATTATTCTGTGAAAGTGAATTTGTATCCTGAGGGATTTGTATTTTTGTGTGTGGGTAATCAAAAGCGATAGAGAGGGAGAGGGGACGACTGCAGAGTGATCACCGATAAAAATCCGACGGAGCTGCTGGAGAACCATCTTTACAGCACAGTTCACAATATGCCGAGATGGCTTTGGTACTTCAGTCATACAATGACTTAACCTGCAGGCTAAGCCCTGATCAATAGTGGATTTTACAGGCCTATGCTTACAATTTGGGGGTATTGTAAAACAAATGAGTAATAATGCAATAATGCACTGTGTATGACTACTGTAATATATCTAGGTGTATAGATAACCAACTAATATACATTGTGAAAACACCTGTTCATCTACTTAATAGCTGCAGTACACTGCATGAGCAGCTAGTCTACCAACATCTAAACAGAGTGTTAAAATGCAAACGTGCTGTCAGTTACTGATCCTGCACAAATTACTTAATTTGGCAAAACTGTGCAAAACGAAAACGAGTGTACAGCGTGAGCCACGCTTATCTCCTACAGCAGCTTTATTAAAAAGCAATTTCCAAATCAAAACTGCTAACTGTGCTGAAATTATTCAGTCTTCATTTAAAGCTCTGTCTGCTGTGCACATGAACATTATTTTAAAACAGGTCTTGTTTAACTTTCTCAATGTACACTGAAAAAACCTTTGCATAATTGCACCATTTAGTTACTTAATTGCTTTAATAGAGCGATTATATAAAAACACAGTTCTTTCATAAAGGGTTTCAGAGACTGTTTAAAAAAAGAGAACAGCAAAGATGTGAATCAACCCTTCCTCTCATTTCAATGATACTCCACGGTCCTAGCATTAGCTGACCCACGGGCACTGAAAGCATTTCATAAACTTTGAATGAGGTCCTAGGTCAGTAATTTTGTGTTTGCATGTCTTTGTAGTGGGTTTCCCCCAGAGCATTACACAACCCAATGAGAAAAGGCATCAGTGCCACAGTGAAATTGAGAAGTTTCCCGTGACGTAAGGAGCTGCGAGGCATCCACCAAGGATATTTGAATACTTGAAACATCAGCGACCCCTGATAACAAAGAGGGGAGATGGATATGAAAAATATTGACGAGCCAGCAATTTAAGGAGTGTGAAGCTTGCTCACACATCCCACTCTCACTGCCAAAGAACCTATTTTAAACTCCAAGCCTGGAAATGAAAGACTCAATACTGAAATGCTCTTTTTTTAAAGAAATCTTAGCCATTATATTAGATTTCTATTTTTTTATGTGCAAATAATCTCAAAACCTGAACAACAGAGAAACCTATACAGTGATCTGCTACTTTTGCCAGGTTTTTTCTGCACAATGCTTGGCCAAGGTCTTTGACATCATGCAAAAGACAGCGTTTAATGTAGCTCGAAATGGCCTCGGGAAGCATCTTCCTTCAAATATGCTCTGTGAAAGCAAAGAAAAGAGCCAACATTTTTTCTGTTCTCTGTGAAAACCCAAAGGCAAGATGACTGTTAAAAGTGGTCAGATGACAAATGTCTCATCTGATCTTTAATCCAGGAGGGGGGGGCGGCTTCAGGGCTAAAACAGGAAACTCACACAAGATTGAGCTATTTGGTAAATTCCACTGTGCTAAATCACCGCTGCAGTGCTGCACATTTCTCCACACCGATGAATGGCATTTCAGTCCTCGCTCTGAAGGTCGTGCTGCTATCAGACAATGTGCATGTATGGGACCCCGGGCGCCATCAAATATCCATGTCTGTGCTTCTAAAACAAAACTTTTCTTCAATTTATGGCATCGTCAGTGTCTCTTACAATAAATAATGACTTAAATAATTTCTAATATGAACAATTTTCAGTTTCTACTGTAACACTTTTATTAAATCCAAACAACAGAACGGGGCTAAACAGCCGAGTTTTGCCAGAGCCTGTCAAAAGTAATCCACCTCTCATCAGCTCACGTTCAAAGTGGGATGTTACTGGCAGAAATCCCTCATCACAGAGACTGATGCAAACATTTGGCAGCCATTTTCTGATCATCCGGTTCATGACACATTCCTTGATAGTCAACTTCACAGAGCCAGCCAGTGTTCATCTCAATCACCTGATGACGCTGGCAGACTCGAGCCTGTTGTCTGACGATAATCGGATGTGGCAACAGAGAAGTGAGTAATAATTGGGTCAACAAGGTATGTCAGCTCCCACTAACTCTGGTTTGAATCATCTCTCTGCAGCGTAGCCAAACGTGATAGTACGACGCCTGAAATATTTGGCTGTGATAGGCAGCGACAGCAACGTGGCACGGGATACTGCTTTCAACCTACATCTGACCCCGAGATGATTAGGCTTAGCGGAGATGAAGCCGCCCACATACCTGTGCAGGGAAATCTGGTGGTATTTGTTTTGTTTGCTGTGCCTTTGGCTTGTATTCACTCCTTTTTCCCCCAACTTGTTTTTCTACTCATGCCATTATTATTATAATTTGTATTTTTAATATTATTACGTTCAAAATTAAAGATGAGAAATTACAAAGTTCCAACAAAACTGTGGACGCCATGAGTGTGTAAAGGTTTTGCAATAACTACTGTTACTCACAACAAAGGAAGTAAAACGAGAAAGGCCTGATCTCAGATTTATTTTTTATTTGAATAAATTACTTCTTTGTAACGACTAGCAGCTCTCTTCCAAATAAACCTCGTCTACCAAGTGTATAGTTTTATTGTGTTTGGCAGCGTGGAACAAAAAGACAGCTGGAAGCGCGTATGCCTTTCCCAAAAATTACTAAAAGGTTAAGAAACAAGTGTTTTGTAATACGCCTTTACATGTTTTGCTAGATTAAAAAAAAAGAAATTGCAGAGGTGGGTTTGTTTTTTGAACTTTCATATAATAATATATTTGCAATTTGTCTGACAACTACTTTGGCTTGAGTTTAATAACACAAGCCCACATATGACAACTAAAAGAAACTAAACTAAGGCAGATTCACTTCAAATTTTTCATTTTTTTATTGAATTTATAAAAAGAGCATTATTTTTCCCCTTATCAGTGATAATTGTAAGACAAATCAATTTAGATTTTGATCTATAAAACATCAGAACACATTGTTATTGAACGTGAGACCAACAGTCCAAACCTCAAAATTATTTACTTGACTTCATTTTTTTTTTCGATCAAAATGTCTCTTGGTTGTCACACATTAAAAAAAATTCCACCCAGGGGAAAATTACAGCATGGGCGTATGTAAACTACTGGGTTTACATTTACAGAGCATGGGTGCCAAGCAGAGGTTCATGAAAGGCACCCACTCCATATCCAACCCTTGGCCCCGCTGCAGTCATGTTCGTGGATGTTATACTACTCGACTAAGAATTCCTCCACAGCTGAGACTTCAAGTATAGTAAGCGACGTTGACAGACACGTAACACATCACTATTGACACATTATACAAAATAAGCCTTTGACATGAAAAATACCTTCACATCATAAACTACTGACAATCAAGGATGTAAAGAAACGCTGTAAAGACAGTCGTGTTCTTCTACATCACCGAGGCGGTGTGCGATTACTACTGTTTGAAAGCTGTTGTGTAGTACGTGTAACATGACTGTAACATTGTAGCAACAAGTGTCCACTGTCACGTTGGCACCGCAGGATTAGCCGCTTTAGCACTTTAGCACAAAGCCGTTTTGCGTACATTGTAATATAAACGTTACAAAGCAGCTGGAAGCGTTTGCTGACACCTTCGACTGTCCGGTTTTATAAAGATAAAGTCCGCAAAGCGACATGCTAGGAAGCTAACAAGCTAGCCTAGCTAGCGAACTTCGAAAAACTTCTTCAAATGAGTGACAAACTTGTGTCTGAAGGGCAACTGGTGACTACTACGAACCTTTTCTGTCACTTTCCGAGGAAGTTAAAGCGCAAAGGGCAACAGCTTCCGAGGAGTTCATTAGCAGTAGTTGAGTTTCAAAAAGTTCACTTTCAGCTAACGCCGTGTCAGTTCTTACCAGGAAGTGGGAGACAGTTGCTAAGCTATTCCTTCTTCACGCTGAGGCTTTTTCCTGATGGTTATGGCGGTTATCTTTGTTTTGACTTTCCCTTTCTTTCCAAGGTCGCTGCGAGAAGTGGACTCGGTGGGCCTCTGTTCCTGCGTGGCACCGTGACTGAGCTGGAAAGTTGTCTCGCAGAGAGCGCCTGTGCCGCACAGCCAGGCGAGATGTGTACGTGTTTTCGGACAGACTCTCCACTACTAGGCCCCCCTCATCACCACAACGCTGACCCGTGTGACTGTAATGTAAACAACCCAGCATTCCCGGAGCGCAGGGGAGGGGCGAGTGTCAAAGAGTGAAGGGAAACTGTCAAATACCGCGAGATTCAAAGGAGCAGCTTCACCACCTCGCGCTGTCTTTACTTTGAATCGTGTTATTTACGGACAGAGGAGAAGTTTCCTGTTTCAACTTACGGTGCATTTACCGGTTCTTTCTCGAGCTTTTCACTTTTAATTGCTGCTGGGTTTTTCAAACGCACTTGTAGACAAGTGGCATCTGCTTATATTGTAGGAAAACAGGTATGTCTATAGCAGGCACCTCAAAAGCTGTGCAGCTCACACCCGAATAATTTAGATGGATAAATAGATTTACAGTTATCGCTCTGTGTTTAGTTTAAAGAAGTTGCATTACACCAAAAAGTTGCACCTTAGTGTTGCAAATTCCATCCACGTCTCCCGTTCACTTCTGTGGTTGAACAGAAGATGGTCCTAGCTTTCATAGGGCAAGATGGCCCACTTCAAGTGGGCCTGTTGTCCAAGCCTCCCGCGATTATCTCGACTTGGGTTTTTTTTTTTTTATGGCAATCTTTGCTCAGAATCGTTGCGTTTTTCTTCATACCGCCCACCACTGTCTAGGATGTCATTCTTAAGTTGCAACAAAACTAAAATATTTGGTATTCCAACTTTGCTCAGAATTTGCATGACAATCTGTTGAGGCAGTGTAAGAAGGTTTAAGTGTGTTCAGGCAGCCAGGTTGCGCTGAATCCACTGATCCACACGCATACTCTCGGCTATTTGCTCACAGTCTCGCTTGCCATCATTGCACGTGTGCACATGACACGCGCAGAGTCTGTAATTGGGAATATTAGGAGAATTTATTGACAAAAAATGGTGCCGCGGATTGACTCGCGTGGACAGCGAGCGCAACTGGAACTGATCAGCTTACTTTGCTTTGATAAGAGCTTCAGCAGTGATTTCAGACTGACAATTCAAACAGCGCTGATACACAGGAAACACATCTGTCTTCTTCCCATCCCCATTGTTAATAATCAACAAGTTAGGTGGGGCTGTGTTTTTTCTCCCTACTTCAATCGCCTTTTTTGTTAACCTCACTGCAAATATGGAGAAAGGAGAGATGCCTGGAGTGTGGGATTTTTTTCCCCCCTTTTTCTTCAACAACAGTTGAAGATTAAAAGAAACGTCTCACAGAAATCTGTCAATTCTGTATGTGAATAATGCTGTGTGGAATTTAATGGCATGAGTTATATTGGGTTTCCTCTACACCCACATTTTCTCTCAATAAGATCAATGCCGCTCAGTGACAGATAGGGATGGTCTTTTGTATCTTCAAATTTCAGGTTTCTAAGGGAATAATTAGATGGATGGATGAAAAGTAATGCATCAGTCTGCAAGGGGAGCTGCACCACGAGTTCCTGTAGTTCAACACGCATGCCTCCACGTGTTTGGTAGAAAACTGTTTAATAATCGTGTTGGGTTTCCATTGTTCTAAAAGTGGCTCTGTGCACTGATGTGGCGCTTTAAACCAATGGCAAACTTTTTGTGTTCTTTTTTTATTGTTTATTTAACAGAGAGGATCTCCTTTTGATTTGGGGATATTTTTTTTAGAAAGGGAAGCATTCTCATCTATTTCGCTCTGTTCCTTTCCAAACTTTCAGGTGTCGCTCGCAGGTAACCAGCATGGAAAAGGTTCTTCCTCCAGGGGAAATGAAGTAGGTTGAATCGCTGAGTTTACAGAGACCTTTTACTGTAAGTGTGACATTTAACTCTGTGTTTGAACACACATGCTGAACAATATTCCCACAAATGAGAACTGATGACAGCGAGCCTGAATTTACAAGAATTTGGCCGCAGCGTGAATGTTCCGATATTCCATAAGTGATGGCAATAAAAACAACAACCAAAGTTGTTAGACCTCGTTTCGTTGTATTTCTCTGGGAAAACACACGGAAATCCAGTATAGCGCCAAACCAGAGTTTCTGAAAGTCAACATTTAGCATGACCACTTTTATTCCTCAACTCTTTTAGACAAGCTTTCTTCTCATTTCTTTAAGTAGTCTTCAGGAATAGTTCTCCAGGCTCATTGAAAGACATTCAAAGGTCTGCTTTAGATGTTGGCTGCCTTTTGTTCCATTTCCTGTCAAAATGATCCCACACTGCTTCAGCACTGCTGAGGTCTAGGCTCTGGGGAGCCCCATCCATGAATGAGAGTGTTGCATATTGATGTCATTTAGATTTGGATTCATCACTCCATGAAACCTACTACCACTGCTTTTCAGCCAGTTCTACTTTAATTTGGCATTTTATTAAAAATGGCTTCTTGACCATTTCTGACGAGGCAAACAGCAGGTGGATCAGCTGAATGGCGAGATGCCTCCTGCATGCGCTGTGTCAGGTCTTTGCTGGATTTTGTTCCTATAGGACATGAAATCTGCATCATCAGTTCATCAGCCATGATGCTTCATCTTTTGTCCTCCACCTGTTCAGTTTCCTCAGATTACCTTTTAGAACACACTGCAAAGCAAAATACTATTTAATGTCTGCCACACGGTGGCATTTTTCAAGTTTTATTGTCACGTACAGATAAACAGTGTAGCCACATGAAATTCTTTGGCTTCTGCTCCTCAGCTTTACATGAACATATAGAAGTGTGCAGTTATATTAAAGAGGAAAATAATAATAAAAATAACAAAATACGAAATTATTAAATATTATAGAACGTAAGACAACTGTTTGGTATTTACAGTTTGTGCAAAAACTTGTGCAGTAAAGATTTAAAGTGGCAGTGTGTAGAGTCCAGTGGTTGTAGTGAGTGTGTCATGGTGTGTGCAGAATGTCAGCAGTTCAAAAGCCTGATCACTTGTGGTGGTTTTTAAGAGATCTAAAGAAATTGGAATAAAAAAAATTTCTATTCATAAGTCAGCGTTAATTGGCTTAGCAAACAAAAATAGTCTGAAAGTTTCCATAACATATTCCATATTATTTAACCCCTCCTGGAATTTTAGAACCACTGGATGAACATCTGTCTGCTGACCGTACTTTACAGTTGCCCATTAATCCTGTAGCATTCCAAGGAAGCATGCAGGGAATGGATGTTAGCTAAAACAGGTGGTCCTCTACTCATTTATTGTATCATTATTATGTTAGAGAGCTTAAGCTGTGACACCACTGGTGCAGCGGGATGCGAAGTCGTTTATGTAAAACAAGATTAGTAGTGATCTAATGTGGGAAGATCAGATACTGGTCACTCCCAAAAAAAGAGTGGAATTTCAGTTAAACGTAACTCCAAACACTCCCACCTGAAATAATATGGAAATTTGCATTGTTGAGGTTAGACATGTGATCCAAGCTAAAAAGACTACAGAAAGCTTAAAATTAATCTGAGTTTACTTGCAATTTTTTTTACATTAAAAAATGAAGTCGTTTATACAAAGACCAACTCAATTAGACAATAATTCATCTGATTATTTGTAAACATGACACACTTTAGGCCAAACTCAAACACTGTGAAATAAAGAAAAAACGGTCAATTTCACATAATTTGCACAATAGCAGTATTAGCTGTGAACAGTGCATTCCAGCTTTTCACTGCTAAATTTGCAGATTTTTTTTGCACCCAGAGGCTGAAAGCACATTTTAAACACTTAAAAAGAAAAAAAATGTTGGCGTCTTTTTATTTTCCTGCGTGTTGTTGATCTGGCTCAGGGGTTAGGTGTGACTGCAATGTGGTAGAGACAGAAGCTGCAGTCAAAGCTCCTGTGATCGGGTGCAGACTTCATAGAGACCAGCAGATGGAGGGGAGAGGATCTGCGTGCATCCTGAAGGTTTAGCAAGAACTGAGAGGTTACACTCCTCCAGTACAAAGATGACCTGTCACACACTGAAGCATGCCTTATCAATGCAGACGAGCATCCTGTTTATGTACCTCACAGAGCACAGCTATCACAGGAAAAGAGAGAGGGATTACAGATGGAAATATGTATGAAATGTTGTATCTCCCCGTCTCTCTCTCCAAATACCCAGGCGAACTTGGAGGCAGCGTGCATGTGATGCCTGCATTTCCATTTTATTCGCTAATTAATGTTGTTTTGTCTTCAAAGTGCAATCGCAACCTGTAGTTATCAGCCTTGATCGCAGCATTTTCAAGGTTGTCTAGATGTGAGCCGTCACATAACAAACAGGTGTAAATATAGAATAACAGCTCAACAGAGAAATGGAGGATTTATGGCATGTGGAGAGCACTGTGCAAACGAGGCACAGGAGAGATAGTTTGTGATAACGTGAAGGACAAAACGGGCATAATATTTCTATCTATATCGCTTTTACAAAAGCTGCTTTTCACCGCCTGCTTTTGTTTGTGCGCGTCTGCTCGGCGTGTCTGTTACGTTTCCCTGCATGTGCTCCGTATTTGTTGGTGTGGTCCTTTCTCTTGGCAAACACCCAGCACGCTGGATCTCTCCACCTGCTCTGCATCAGCCAGAGGGGCAGGCCTCAGTCTCACACTTGTGCAGCTCTCTCTCACACACACACAGCTGTGGGGCTGTGTTTCATTCACATCGTCACCCTTCTGACATCTGTCTATGTGTGTGTCACGGTGCCGGTGTGTGTCTGAGTTAGCAGGGTGGTTGGTGTGCGAGGTGAGGTTAAATGGGTGCCTAGCACTGAGAGGAGGCAACTGAGGCGGAACTGGCAGAATATCTCACACACACACACACACACACACAGAGTGACAACAGAAACAACACTATCAGAGCAACATGTAAACTGCAGGTGCGCCCTATGCCTCGGTGATTGTTCCATACTTTGTTTCGACCCTGTCGCCTGTCACCGTGCGTGCGATAATGTGTGATAATGTATGTGCGACCTCGTGCAATGTGCGCTTGCAGAAACACACTTTGAGTTTTGCACTTGTTGCTTTGCAACATCTAGAACTAGATGCACGCTCAGCAAAGTATTTATTTTTTCCTGATTTCATTTGAATCTGACGTCGACCTGGTTCGTGGGGCCTGGAGATTTTCCCCTGTGATGACAGGCAGAATCCTCATCCTTGGAGCTGGTTTCTCATTTGACCTTTCCGTATAACATATTTTTCCAGACAGACATATCAAATATCAAACCTTGGTTGCAAATGTCACAAGCTTAAGCCGACGTTAAAAACCAAACCCTTCAAAATTTGCACAAATGCATGTTTTGTTTGTAAATCCAACGAGCCTGCTCTGACCACAGAAAGTTGCATTTCTGCAGGTGGTTTTTACAGCTAAAATCACGATGGCTTTACATGTTTGATCAAAGCACTCTTGCATTGTACATCATGATCCACGTTGAATTGACTGATTGGACTGGCCAACCTGCAACCATCTGGGATCGGCTCCAGCCTCACCGTGACCTTGAATTGGATAAGTGGAATTAAATGGATGTAGACTGAAACTAAAGCGCTATATGCTGAGCAGAAACCCATCTGCTTTATCTGTAAATGAACTTTTTTCCCCCTTTTTTTGGACCACCACATATGTCGGGATCAGCCACAGTGTTTCAACGAATCCTCGTGTGACTGAAAGCACACACTGTTGTCGGCGTTGTTTTTCTATCATCGTAGTACACAGCTGTCATTTAACAGAAGGAAGAAAGGCAGAGTAGGATACCAGTCGACAGAGGGCCTGCATTCATCTCCTGTTGCTGCGAGCACAACCTCGTTCTTGCCTTTGCATGAACGAGGATATTTTATTTGAATTTAAAAGCATTCACTGATTTAAAGAAAATACTTTTAGTGCACAAATGCTTACAGTGTACTGTTGTTATATATTTATTTCCATGCAAATATCCTTTCTCCATGTGCACCTTTTAATATTCCGTGATGAAGGAGCAGCGCTGCCACTGCTCTGACAAACACAAACATTACCGATGAGATGCATCACAGCCACCAGCAGCAAACCCGTGAAATACTTGTCGAGCAGGGCCGCGATTTGGTCCAGAATTTTTATCCTGCGGCTCCAAGCGCCGAGCGGGGCTGGCTGTGTTTGTTTGTGTGTCTGCTCCAGCCCTGCTTCCTGTAGCTCTGCGGTGTCAACCCGCCCACCGTCCTCCCGTCAGACCTGTGGAACACAGCCCCGCTGCCACAGCGCAGCACAGGCACCCCAGTGACTGAGGTTTCCTCTTGGACTGACTGAAGTGTTTGCTGTTTTCCACATTGTTGGAATTCAACACCAGCCTGTTTACTGGTCCCCATGTGGCTCCAGTCTCTCTCTCCCCTCCTCCTCCTTTCTTTGTGCATGTTTTTTCCCCCTTTCCACAACATACCTTCTTTATATGGCGTGTGTATCCTCCTTTTACACAAAGTACGCACACAGCACACCTATGAGGTGGAATTCTTGCCTATAGTAGACGGTCCACACGATATCCCATGTGGCGTAAATCACACTGGTCAGTATGAGGTTGATTGGTTGTTTTTATCCTTTATTACAAAAACAATCACGTGTTCAAATGAATAAATAATTTTATATCACTGGAATAGAGCTGAAACAACGGCAGTACACCATAAATATGGTTTGGCTTTTTTTAGACATACACACATGGAAAAGCAGGAATCTCGGGCGTCCGAGCGAAATATTTAGGAATGTTGCGAGACACTGGAGATCTGCCGCTTTCATAAATATCCACAGCGACAAGGTAAGAAAGCAGCAACGCTTCACCCTTGACAGCAAGCTGAATGTCAAGAACAAATGAGCTTGAAGCAGTGCTATCAATGTCCTCACTGTGACATTTGGAGTGTTTTTTCCCACGTGAGGTACCGCATGTGCTTCGGGGACTTGATTTTCATATGCTTTATTTTTGCAGCTGACAATAAATCATACAGTAAATCAAAGGAAATAATAATAATATACATCTCAAGGAAAAAATGTTAACAAGATGACGAGGTGCATGCAAAATGAGAATCTCTTCTTTTTCCTTTTCACTTCCTTCCCTCGGCGCAGCCAGATGGCAAAGCTCCAGCTCTGCAGTCCTCTTCATACACTCATCATATTTGATGGGCATCCTGCTGCTGCCGAGTTTCAAGGAGGCCGCGTGTTTACCAAATGACACTCGTGACAAAAGAAAACTTCTATTTAGCAAGCTGGTTCTTGGATGAGGTGCACGGGGGCAGCAGCGCGCGCGCACGTGTGTGTGCGTGTGTGAGTGTAGACCCTGTAGCGTGTGCAGGTGTGTGTGTTGAATCACGTTCTGCCTCTTCTGTTTTTCTCTACACTATGTTACATTTTATTATCACTTTTGTGCATTGAACCACTCCAGTACAGAAAGATTTGCGTTCACATCATAAATATCATACACGGTGGGGGGTTGGGGGGGTCTCCTCCGCTGATGGACAAACTTTAAGCAAAACAAAAATCACCTGTTGTACATTTGCAACTGAAACAGGTTTGGGGGTTTTAATCTTTTATGTTGTTGTTGCTGTCGGTTGCCCTTTCGCTCTCATTACGCTCTAATCTTATGCTAATATTGTCTTTGTCTTCAATGGTGAGGATTTCCCATCAAAGTTTTCCCCTTCTCTTAATACTTTAGGGAATTTTCAAACGTCGGGATGTATGGCTGTAATGCCCCAAGATTTGTTCTCCCTGAAAGAAATGATAGAGTAAGAATATATTAACTACAGAGCAACCTGGCTTTACGCGGTCTGCATTTACTCTTACTTCATTTTAGGTTTACCAATATGTTATGCATAAATATATATATATATATATATATAGATAGAAATCAATATATGCTTTGCAGCATTCCTTTAATTTAAAATTTAAAGCCATGTTCATGCATTAAAAAGCAATTTCATATTTTCGACTGCAGGGTTTAGATGCAAATCCATGGGGCATTACGTTAAAACCATAAACATCATAAAAGAGGAAGTAGAAATTAAAAATGGAGGCAAAAATGAGGACGTTTAACTGGTCATTAATAACTGAATGCTTTCTCGTTTGTTGATGTGAGAAACAAAACTAAAAAAAAAAAACAACTGTATCCAAGAAAGAACAGAACAATGGCGAGTGTAATGAAAAATAAAAACCCATTTAAAGCAAAGTATTTTTTTTTATTCACACAAATTTAATAAGATATATAACAACCGTTTGGTCCATAAATATTTAAGGGGAAATAGTTTCTATACACCATCTTTGTCAAGAAACAGGGAAACATGGACAATCTTGATAGAACACTTACTGTACTCAACTATTAACACGAAGATCAATATATAAGGTTCTCGGATTACCCAACTATATCTGAAAGAGTGCACAAATGCTTTCCGTGACATCGCTGCCCCCTTTTTAACAGGATACACCATAAAAAGATCTTCGGAGATAAGATGCAAAACAGTACAAAACTAGTGAGGCGCCAAAAAGGATGTGAATCAGTTAACAAAGAACACATAGATCCTGAATTTCACAAACTTCTCCCAAGTTATAGCGTAAGGCACATAGAAGAACTGAGTTAGGCATCTACTCCATCGAGTAGATCGGGGGCGCCACCTTTGCCCCCGACAGAACAAACCGTGACGCCCGCTCACGACGAAATGCGTCGACTCCATTGAAGATTTGCTCGCCCTTTCCTTTTCTCTCGCTCTCTACCTTTCAGCCAGAAGAAACGTGGTGGTTTTTCTTTTTCCCTTTTTTTGGTCTGTTCAGTGGCAAGTGTCGTTAAACAAAGCAGAAATATACGGCCGGAAAGGAGAACACACGGACAGCGATTTCCCGCTGGCTGCCTCTCACGACTCCACCTATGTGAGGTCATTTGAATGTTCATGTCAGCTCTACAAATCTACGTCGCGGCCGCTTCGCCCCTCGCCCTGCTCTGTTCTTTTTTCCCCAAGATCACATCGTTACCCTGAGCAACATGATAAAAACAATAATGCACTTTTCACTGGGCAGTATATTGTCACTGTGCAATCGAGTTTAGCTGTGGATCTACGCTCACCAGGCTTTTTATCCGTGGTTAATCCGTGAGGCCAACAAGACAACGACAAAAAAAAGGCAAAAAACCAAAAAGTGCTCCGTCGTGAAAACAATCGTTAACTGCTCTCCAGTCAGAATTTCTCTGGCCGGTTTCTAATTGTCGAAAAGGTGACGACATCACACGTTGAACAGTTACCACTGTACAGATTGAGGGATTTGCTTCTCTCTCCTCGTCACAGTAAAGTTTGCTATCTGCACATTTTTCTCCTTCGTCTTCTTTTTCTCACGTGCAGCTCTGATTCCATCCAACTCGGTCTTTAAGACCGAAACATTCGGAAATAATTAAAGCCTGTTTTCTGGAGTTACCCATATACAGAACATTCTACAAGTTTATTTTTCCCAAATGAGTCCAAAACAGAAACAAAATGTTTAAATCGGAGAGTGCGAACACAGTGCATACATGTACAGGAATCTGAGGGCGAAATAGCGGTAGGATTTTAAAATTGACCAATTAAGCATAAATTAAGGAGGGCCCGTTTTCACTCTTTTTTTAACCAGAATTCAAGACAAATGTACAAATTAAGTTTTCCAGGCAAACTTTTTTTCCTTCCTAAAGCCTTCGCCTCCAAAAACGTCCCATCCCGAGTCAATCTCTGCATCTGCAGTTTCAAATGCTACACATTAAAATGGTTTCCTCGTGTCTTAATGCGGTCGCTGCTGCTTGTTGCTCTTGTTGCTCTTGTTTGCGTGCACAGTGCAGCACTTTGTGTTCCAAGGAGCTGTCTCTGCTTGACTTAAAGGTGTCACTTTAAAAAAATAAAATGTGAAACTGAAGAAAGAAAACAAAGAAAGAAAAGTAAAAGAAAGAAAAAGGGGAAACAAACCCAAACAGAATCAGTCTGCTAGAGATAGCTTGTTAGAAAAGGTTTGTCAAGGTAGTTTGCGAAGGGCTCCCCGAATCATGGCTGTCCAAACTAGAGGTGACGGAGGTCACTACAGTGATAGAGGGGTTTGTCAGGTCTGTTAGTGTGGCCGCGCTGGAGGGGGGGGTCAGGGCCCCACTGTCGGATGAGGGCGGAGGGAGTGAGGTGCCATCAGCCTTATCAACACCTCCATTCTCCTGTCGCAAAACGTTCCTTCTGAATTTGGCTCTTGCGTTTTGGAACCAAACCTGCAAACCAATCCCAATGTGGCTTTTACTTTTAGTGCTTTAAGGAACTTTCTTTTCTTTTTTAAAGAAAGTATCAGATCATGTGTACATTAGCTTACAAGTCAAGTTATCACAGCTGTTACTGTTTCAAAGTTGTCTCAAGTATATGAATCTTTGTATGATACATTAGTTGGGGCTTAAGGGGCAAGGTAACAATGAACCAGTGAGTCTGTGCTGAACACTCAATACAAGAATGTGGATTTTTATAGCAAATCAAAACAAAATGCTACAATTTACTGATTTGGTTGATTTGGTTGTTTTTAACTGTGAGACTTTCATTACACCTTTTTTCTCTCTTCTAAAGTAAAAGTGCACTCTGGCTACTAACAAAGTTAGCAATATAAGAGTTAACTGCTTTCTCCTTTCTTTCCCTCCAAAAGAAAGAAAAAGAAAGAAAGAAACAACATCTACAAATTCCAGATAAACCCCTTGGATATACATCTAATGACTGAATGGACCAACAAAAGAAAGCAAAACTAAAAAAGATGACGACATCAATGATCACTTTGGTGTCAATGAGGAGGAGGAGTGGCGTGCAGACACACAGGTGGGGTGAGCGACTTTAGTAGGAGCAATGACTCTGCTTACCTGTAGGACTCTCTTAGTGAGGCCTGTTTTCTGGGCCAGCTGCTTTAAGTCCTTGGCATCGGGGTTGTGGTTGATGGCAAAGTAGGATTTCATTGTCCGCAGCTGATGGTGCTTGAAGGAGGTCCGCATGCGTTTGGTCTTCTGCGTCGGAGGGTAGGCCTGCTGGTCCCGGTCCAAGTGATCGGTGTCGTTCTCGTTACAGCCTGAAGAGAGGGCAGAGCGTGAGGCGGGCTTTAAAAAAGAAACTTCGGCAGGTCAGTTTACATTTGGATAAACAGCCCTCTGTGTCAGACTTCATTTGCACTGTGCCCCAGGCCACTAGCACCGCTATAACCATAAGAAAACAGCTTCATTCCAGTGATTTCCAACTGACGCTGATGAAAAAAGAGACAAAAGATTTCCACTGACAGGCTAAGGCAGAAACAGCTGTTCTGTGTCGTCACGGCGTATCGTCAAAGTGCTGATAACAATTAAAATCCTCAACAAGCCGAGAAGCTGACTGAACCGGCTAAAAGGAAAGTAAACCGCGGCGTGCGGCTCGTGTCTGCGTGAGCAGATCTGAAACAAAAAACAGCAAAATGATGAATTTTAACTGTACGCTGGGACGGGGCTAAATCCTTTCTGCTTGTGTTTGCAAAGACTAATAGGCCTAATGGGCCTCATTTGTCAGTAGCTTAGTGTGTAAAATACTTAAAACGGATCCAGTAAATTAAACGCAGGCACTGCTTAGCAGTGTTGCTTGTCACTGCGAGAAAAAAGGCTTTTTTCAAACACAATTTGATTTTTTTTATTGTCCCAGACTTTATGAGATTTCGTCTAAAAACATACAATGAAAATGTATTTATTTTGATCCTCACATAAAAGAAGTGTTTTCAGGAAAGCATGTCTAAAGTATCTGAATCTTTTACGTGGCTGCAAAAGCAGCAAAAATATAGAAATGTAGGATTTCTCAATTCTAAAGTGTTTCCTGTTGAGCCATTTTGGGGCTAAATTACACATCATTTAAAAGAAGAACAGCGATGCTGATACGTGTGAAAGGCTTTCATTATGTTTGAATATCCAGCTTTAACCTAACAATCACTGACATTTGTGCTCTTCTGTTCCAGTCTTCACTGGCTCGTGTTTAACTAGATATTACCCACTAGGGGTCTCTGTATCCAAACAAGACCAGCTTTGCTGTGGAATCCACAGCAGACTCACACACCTTTCCCTGGTGAAAACAAACATGGATGTGCTGCAAAAGCAGGAACAAAAACCTCAAACAAAACCTCTTCCTATTTGTTATGAATAAGAGCCTGCTGATCTGTGCAGCCACTTATATGAACAACACAGTGATGCTATAAAAGTGTGTTCGTAATGCAGAGCCCAGTGGAGGCAAAAGAGTGCTTTGAAATAAATATATATGCGCATGTATATTTATTTCAGTTGATGCCGTTTTAATTTAATTTTAAAACATAAAATAAAATCTCTCATTTGTGAGCTCATTTTAACATTTTAACGTTTAAATTAATTACATGTGGCTAAAAACAAAAATATCCTTTTAAAAATTGATGGTGTTTCCACTCGAGTCCCAAATGAACACGATTATATTCCCTCTGGGACTTTTATTGTGTCTGCGGAGCATACCAATTAATTCACATGGACATCACTGTAACTGCGCTTTGGGCCTTTTTCTGTGAGCGTGGATTTTATTTCTATTTTATTTTAACTTGTCCTCTGTTATAACGCTTTGGCAGAATAAGCGTAATCTCTTATTCTTACTACAGAAACAAAATCACGGGACTACAATGGCTTTTTTCCTATTAGAGCATCAGTGAGAAACTGGAATTTGCATAATCCCCTAGAATTGTGTTTAGGAATAACAAACCGAAGCTCATTTAACCGGAGCGCTGACTGTACGGTGCTGTGTTTTCAGCCCCTGGCCTCTCCCTGCAGCAGGCCCCTCTGCGCGGCGCTGCTCTGTCCCTGAGAACTGTGCTGACCGCCGCACGGGAGGCCAGGGATTCCAACGTCACCTTCAATTAACAAAGAACAATTAACGCGCAGATTACCCCTATTCCTACCCATTCACTAGGAACACAGGAAACTTGGCGCACAATGCCAAACTTTCTCAACCGCACACTAATTCGCAGAAAGCAAGAACAAAATGGGGACACTGCAGGGAGGGCCGGGGTCGGCTTATAACATTCGACGATCCAGTGCAGCATTTTACGTGAAACCTGCGTTTAACACTGGCTTCATTTGCGCTTTCCAGCGGTTTTTTAAATGTATTTTTTTGTTTCTCGCATAAAAGTGAAACACGCGGAATATTCGGACATTTTTTTGTCCACGATTTATTTTCTATATTACGTTTACTCCATTCAAACGCGTTGTTTTTCACGTGTTATGACCTAAATTCGTTCTAATTATAAAAGTCGATGAGCAGGTCGGCGGCGAGGTCAACTTTCGATCATTCTGTTGGCGGAAATGATGCGTAAAAGACGCGCGCGTGGACGGATCAATTAGCCCGCAGCTCGGAGCGCCGGTGCAAGACGTTCACGTGCATTTACTACGAGGCACCCAACAAGGCAACGAGTGCATCCATTTCATTTATTGAAATAATAGGCGTGTTATAGAGGGGATACTGAAGGGCCCGACTACAACTAAAAAGCGACAGAAAAAAATGCAACTGCCCATCAAAAAAACGAATTTGCGAGATTTCGCTGGATTTTTTCTGATTCACTCGATTTTGTTTTTTTTGTTTTTTTTTTTAAGGAAAGAAATGGAAAGAGGAAAAAGATTAATTAAGGCAGCACCGTTTGACAGCCTTTATCATTTCAGTCGCTCACTGTGCAGCGGAGGGTTCCTAAACTGGTGTTTCCTTAATGTTCGCGAGAATCTGCTTAATGTTTAATTTCATATGTTTGTGTGCGATGACAACATTATAGCTCGGCATGTTTTTCCTGGTTTCACTGTCCTCCTCTGCTGGAAACATCCATGCACTAAAACTTCAAGCAGATGTGAGCGATTCCACACCAAAACTAAAAAGGGTTTTTTTTATTGTGAGCGCGTCGTCGTCGTCGTTGTTGTTTTTCGATGTGAAATGAAGCTCCGAGCAGCTCAGCTGTCTCACCTGTGTTGTAGCTCGGTATATCTATCCCCATGGCCGGACTCTTCCTCTTGCGTGGCCTTCCCTTCTGTGCCGTCCCGGTGCCGTTGAAGTAGGGTAGAGTGAGGCCGCCTCCCTTGGCTGCCAGCTCGGCGAAGTTGAGCTGGGGGTGGTAGTCCGGCCCCTGCACCAGCGTCTCGAAGTGGAGTCGGCAGTACACTAGGCTGTCCTTCATGCCGAAATGATCGCCCGTGGTCAGGGTCTTGTTGCAAGTGGTGCACGTGAAGCAGCTCAGGTGGTACACGGAGTCGCGCGCTCGCATCACCATCTCCGAGGCCGATATCCCGAGGTGGCAACGCGCGCACCTCTGCACGGAGAACCTTCTGGAACAGACACACAGTCAAGACTCCTCATCCATAAAGACCAGAGTGGACAAACAGCACGGGGGGGGGGACTAAAAACTAAAATATAACCCGCAGTGTCACGAGCTAAAAGTAAGGCCTGCCTTATTTAAGCGGCCTCCATGCGCCTTAGCGTGGCTCCAGCGTCCTGCACAGGATCACTAAAGCAGGCCTATATTTTGAGGTTGCATTCTGATAGCCACATCTGGCCCAGAACTGGGTGTGTACATGTGCGCGCAGAGTCGCTACACAACCTCGACAATAAAACCCACGAACGCTAGCCCGTTTGCTTTCCTCCGACACACGAATAATACAAGCATATGTTCAGCAACACTATCAGAAGGTAAATACACAAGTATGTAATAATTACAGAGCGTAACTAACAGCATCCCGGCCTGAGCCGAAGCAGTGCCGTAAAAATGTGCGTTAAGAATATAGGATAGGACATTTTTGTCCAGCTGTTTTTCTGGAGCTACTCTCATATTACTTTAACATAATAATAATTAAATAATAATAAGAGTTTGGATAAGAAGGTGACTTATGCATTAAGTTCGTGTTTGCATTACACACCAAGCTACAGAGAGAAAGCACAGTTTCATTGTTAAAACTTATTCCCGGTTAACAGCAGGCAGCCCACGTTAGTGACAGCTGGGATGTTTTTCGGTCCGAGGCCTGGCAGCCTGTTGATGAAGGGCTAACGCTGACTGCTCACAATGATTGCTAAAATGGTTATTTAAGAGCTGGAAACTAATATCATATATAAATAGGTCACTGTCGAACTGGGTCAGTAGATTTGGGTTTAGGTTACAGAGGGGAAAGAGGGACACACGATTTTAGGAGCAAGCCCGTAAAACTGAAACGCTAAACTTTCAGTTTTCTTACCTGTAGTAATCCTCCTTGCAATAGATACTCCCATCCTTGGCAAAACACGTTAGCTCCGACTCCAGCGCTAGTTTACATTCACAGCATTTGAGGCACCGCAGGTGCCACTGTTTGTCCACGGCCAGGAGGTAGTATCTATCCGAAATCTTGCCGCCACAGCCGGCACACAGGGCTGGCTTCTCTGGGCTCATAGAAGGCATGTTCTGGGACAAAGAAGGAAAACAAGGCTCATGGCAGCTGACTGCTTCAAACCACTGCTGGGAAAATCGTCACAACATTGTGCTTAAAAGAAGAAAAGCAAAAAAACGAAATGCTGGCCATAAAATTCAACTTTTCTTTTTTAAACCTGGAAAGCTGCCTGTGAAACCCTCAGTTATGCTACAGCAGCTTGATGTGCAAATAGCTCTTACTTATGGAACAACGCGTCTATGAATTAAGCCTATTTACCTATTATACGTATGAAGGAAAAATACAGATGATGTTCGTGTTTTGAAATTAAATCCATCTACGAATAAATTTAAAATGCTAAAATTAATCATTTTTAATTAAAAAAAAAAAAATCAGGTCGGCTTCTATTTGCAAATATGAAACTGAAAATGCAAAACGCTGTCAGAGAAATAATGCGCCGACATTAATGTTTGTTTTATTTGATGACAAGACTAAAACGGTGCTTTAAATATATTTAGAAATAACGACACCAGAATTAAAAGCTGTCGTTCACGCCAATTATTTTTGTGCAGAAGAAGAAGACGCAGCCATTAAAAGAATACTGCTGCTATGAAATCTATCATATCCAATGGAATAATATGGATAAAGACGAGAATCCTCCTCACTGGCCTCCTACTTACCACCCAAATGTCTGCACGTTTCCGGGCACGTTAACGTGCCGTTTTTCGGTCTTGCGGTAAGTGAGACTAACGCGACTTTTTAGCCATTATTTCACACACGGCTCGGCCTGGCTCTTACCGACTCTCTTCCGTTCAGCTGCATGCCCTTCGCCAGGCGTGACTCCGTTTTCGACCTTCTCTCCATCTCCTCCATGATTCCTTGGATGTGATCCCCGGAGATCCCGTGGAAAAGCATGGCTCCAGGTCCTGGACGCAACGTGCAACTGCCTGCCTCTGTCTTGCAGCCCACAACTTCCATATAATGCACTGCAGCGCTGCGCCCCGCTCTCTCAGCGCATCCAAATGGGCTCTGAGGCTCTAAAAAAGAGGCACAAGGAAGAAGAAGGAAAAAATAGACACAACCCCAGAGATTCAGATCACCTCCTCAGCAGAAGCAACGGGAAGAAAAAGGACAAAACGAAGAAACTACAGCGTGAGTGGGGCAGGAGGAGCTCTCCTTCTTCCTGTGAATGTCTCTCCTCCAGGAAAAAAACCCAAAAAAAACAACATATAGTCCAAATGATGCGACAGGCCGGTGTGGAAGTGGTGGTGGAGTTTGAGGAGGGAGGAGGGGAGGGAGTGTGAACACTGGCCAAAATAATGACACAAAGTTTTTTTGTGTGGTGTTGTTTCTTTTTGGTGATCTCTCTCTCTCTCTCTCTCTCTCTCTCCCAGTTTCCCAGTCCGGGGCTCCTCGGTGCTTGGAGGTCAGGTTGGGACTGCCTGGATTTGAGAACCGTGTCCTATTTGTGAAGAGAGCAGAGCCGGCCCAGTCTGAATAATTTGGTAGGAGGAGTTCCTCTCTCCCTCCCTCCCTCTCTCTCCCCATCTCTCTCTCTCCCTGCATCGCCGCTGATTTCTATTCAGCAACAAAGAGATGTCACTCTCCCCTCAAAACCCCCCGACTCTGGACCACTGCTTTATGGTACTGACATTTTCATTACGTTTGTTCTGCCATTTAAAGGCGAGACGACGGGAACGTAAGCTGCACAAAGTCGGTGCAAATATATTAGATTTATTTATGAAATCATCTGCATCCCAAGCAGGCGGCCGAGGCCCTCCGTGGTTTCACCGGACGCCTCACAAGTGGGAATAAACACGTGTCTCACGGGGTGTCGCTTAAAGACACTTTCTAATAAAACTTTGGTTGGTCAGAGTTTTTGGGAAGTGCGAGCTGGACCAGACCGAGTGTTTGGTTTGGTCCCCAAAACACACACACACACACACACACACACACACACACACACACACACACACACACACACACACACACAGTGTGTGACATAAATATTCTGTCTGGGCGGGGCAGTGATCAGTGATAGGCTAGAGGGCGGGGACAGATTCAATTGAACATTTTTGAAACAATGTGATTTGTTTTCAGCCCAAATGAATGAGATTTGATTAAAAACTGAATTAATTAATGAATAAAATGTATCCCAGGTAACGACAGCCTCCTTACTCAGATAACCCGAACAGCTCGCTGCACGCTTACATGTATAGAAATCTCTCTCTCCCTCTTTTAAACGCTCTTTTGAAGCAGTCATTATCCACTGTCAAGGATTCATTAACGCGGCCCTTCGTCTTTTCTCTGTCTGCTGAATTAGGCCAAAACCTTGTTTACCTGCTGGAGAGTTGATCTGACAGCAGCGAGAACTGTGTAGTCTCCGCATTTCATTTGTTTGTGTGTTTCTCTTTCTTTCTGCTTTTCTTCTTACGGGCTTTATAAGAAGCAACGTGGAAGTAAAGGCGAGATGAGAGAGAGACCTCCAGTTGGTGGTCGCCACAGGGAAACCTCAACCAGCTATTGCATATTTTTAGAAATTCATGCTTTTTAAAATTCCATCCCTATCTCCAAAGATGGTCTGCTTTACGCAGGGCGCAGGGGGGGCTGCAATAACGATCTGTGTCAGTTTTAAAAGGGTGTGGAAAGCTTTGTTGCCCAAATAATAAAGCCAGGAAATAAAACGCGTTCCGCTTCCTGTATGCAGTGCAGACCTGGTGACAACAAAACTATATTTTTTTAATTAATTTGTTCATTAATTGGAGATTTTGGCCGCGTGACCTTCCAGCTGGATCCATGCCAGCGAGCTGTGGTCTTTGTAAGATCGATGACGGCATTATTTTTCACAAACAACAGACAAACATCAGTCCCGTTAATAGATTTAGCAAAGCTCGGGGAGGTTTGCAGGTGTGGATGCTTCATCTCAAGACGTGTTACATTATCACGTGAACCTCCCACCACCCATCCACCTCACCGCACGCGCGCACACACACACACGCGCGCACGCACACACACGCGAAGTTGTGTTGGCTTTAATTGGAGGCCCCTTGATATCAGCGCTATAAGACGAGGCTTGAACCCTCCTGGACGGGCTGAACGTGCAGCTGTTGTCAAACCCATAACGCTCATTTGCGCTCTGCAGTGTCCCGGCACCAGCCGCAGAGTGGTGGGGGGAAAAGGGCCACTCAAAAAGGACACGAGGATTTCATTTCACCTGGACAAAGACGCCCCGAGTGGAACGATAAGCTCAGCTCTGTGTGCGATTTTTAATCTTAACTGCAGTTTTCCTGCCATTCTGCGTCTTCTCTGCGAATTAGGCAAAAGGGTGTGTTTTGAATATGAAGAAGTTTTTAAAGAACATTTTATTATTATTATTTTTAATGAAAGCCTTAATGTCGATAAATAACGCCGTTGTGGCCCGTTGCCTCCAGCAGTGACATTTAATATGACTGAAGAGCGTTTACCAATGTGTCAGTGAACACCAAGGGGAGGGGGGGGGGGGCGAGGGGGGGGGGGGTCTTTGTAGCTGCTGTTTGGTTTATTTTGTTTTTTCTGTATTTAAAACATATATTCTTGAAGCGTTTTATTTGTCTGATTGTCTTTTTATTTCACTCCGGATTTTGACCAAACTATATATATGTATTTTTTTTTTACAAAACGAAAAAAAAGTCACTTTTATTTTGAAATATCTTTTTTTTAAAAATCTATAACACCGTCAGTATTTTTAAAGTGTCTTTAAAAAAACCGGTAGGAAATAAAACAGTGATTTTGTGTGTCATTCCCGCTTTAGTCAGTGAGAGTGATTTATCCAAGTTAAAGATTAATTTATTATTATTGTTATTTTTTAAGGAATTGAATTTATTTTAAGGCTTTGGAAAAGCACTAAAGCACAAAAATCCAGTGTCAGCATTTCTGTTTGACATGGCGAGAGTCGGCTCAGTGGGCCACTGACGTTTGTCAAATACATAATGAAAATGAAAATAATAATAATAATATCACAATCACGCACACAGCGACATTTTGCCTGTATTTTCATAAAACGCGTACATTTGTGTTTCGCACGATTTTACTGGCGTGCAAACTCCAATCTATTATTTATGTGCATAATCGAGACTGATTTAGGCAAACAGGAAAAAATAATAATAAGAAAAAATATTTATAAGTTTTTTTTAAACACACACCGATCGATAAAATCTGCGCTTTTATCCTGGACAAAATCACCCATGTCACTGTCTTTATCACGCGTCAGATCTGTCGCGCATTGCTTCACACGCTGCCCGCTTCTCCTTTCGTTTTTCCCCCCAAAGCCCTCTCTGTGTTACTAATATTATTATTATTATTATTATTATTATTATAAGCGTTGCCCTCAAGAATAAATAGCTATGGAAAAAAGTCTTACCTGCGGCTGTGCAGTGTGAGAGTGAGATCCCTGTGCAGCGCGCAGACTGAGCCGCTCCGGACTGTGCGCAGTGTGCAGAGGAGACAGAGGAGAGGCTGCCGGTAGATGGGGGGCTGTTCCTCGTTTCTGAGCTTACAGTTCTAGTTCGGGCGTCAATTAAAACACAAGACATTTAAATATTCCTCTCTCGTAGGCAGACGGCCCTCAACACACCGCAGCACACAGAAAACGGGGAGCCATGAGCCAATGGCCTACTCAGCATGTAGGTTATAATCTGTGATGTGCTTCTGAATTAAAGTGGTGAAGTCGGTGGTCTCCAAATGAAACAATAAAACTATCACTGTATAAAATAAAATGTAGGGACTTTTCAACAATTAAATATGTATTTGTCCTTTAAACACCCCAACTTAGCCTGTGCTGTAAATGAATCCAGCTCCTGCACGGTTATCATTATTGTTATTCATGTTACGCACCTATGAATAAGCCAGCGTCTGCACAGATCGGAAATGAAAGCTGGCTCCAAGCACATCTGGGCCTAAACAGTTATAATCCCAAAATGCATCATAGCTTCTTTACCTTTTATTTTTAAATATATATACACACACCGATCGTATTATAGGAGACTGAGGTGAGCTGAGCACGGTTACAGGCTCACTGGCTGGAGAGGTTTGTGTGAATAAATAATTAGGGTGTAAAGTCAAACTGGATCAATCAAATCTGACAAAGATAGGGAGCGCAGCAACACACGCCTGGAGGGGAAAATGTTTTGGTATTGAATAACCAAATACCAAATCGAAGCCATTTTCAAAATAAAAGTGCTCATTAATTGACGAATTGTGCGCATTTTAATCATGTGGGTACTGGACCAAAACAGCGGAGGGTTGCCTATTAGGAAAGGTCGCAGTTTTTTGTTCCCCCCGCCTCCCCCCTTCTCTGACTTCCTTGATTTCATATTTTCGTGACGACAAACGAATAATAAAAATGTGCGATCCATTAAAACAAGACGACACGTGACTCCCACCGCACTTTTTAGTCTAATTTTATTGATGCATTTCATTACAAACACAAATAAGACAAAAAAGACATATGTGTCTGGCACACTGCACGCCCGGATCCTTTTCTGAGGAGCTGAGCTGACAAACTTCATAAAAATTCAAAGCAATAATAAGTCTGTTCAGCCAGGAAGTAGACTTCCACACTTGCCTTGTGTGGCCTTGTGTTGCAACATCTAATGAAAAAAAGAAAGGCTGATGAAAAATTCACCAATAATTAATAATGTCAAGATTTTAGTAAATATTAATAGTGTTTATGTTTTGAGGATGGTTTGGTTGTGTCTCTCTTAATGAGGCCGTATTTTCTCAATTTAAGAGGTAAGTACAAGGAGCGCGAGGTTTCTTACTTTCTTATTATTCTCCACCTGAAATGCAAACTGACAATCGCGCATTAAACGGTATCACCGGTACGAGAATGAAAAGCGTTTAAGGAGCGCTCAGCTCCTCCTGAAGTGCACGTTCATCTTTAACACGAGAAAGGGAGGTCATCCAGAAAAACAACAAGATAACCCAAACGTGCTCGTGCTCCCCACGGAGCGGCGCGCCGTGCACGGATGGACTCGTTTCAATTGACTACGAGTGAATAGAATATTGTGTGAACGAGCACCGGGGCTGGAGCAAAGGGTGACAGTTAATTACACCTCTGCACCGCTGGCATAAATGATCACGTGCCACACTGCTAACAGTCATTTTGCTTTGCTCCTTCAGCCTGGGTTGACATCACAGTGTATCTCATCAATAATGCAACAACACTGAGATCTATTTCACAGCGTAGCACAACACGGAGCGCACACACAGCGTGCTAGGAGCACGATACCCAGACAGGCGCTGCAGCGCGCTTGGTTAAATCGGCGAAACCGCGGCTACAGCGCCAAGCAGGTCGCCTGGCTGTCCCCCGCCCACCCCCGCACCTCCCCGAGTGCCTGGCTCCTCTCTGCTGTAGGGCACGGTGGTTAGATTACCACACATCCAGAGTTCATCTGGAGTTATCATTTCTGGGTCACCTCAAGTGACACTCAGTCTCACAGAGGGAGCTCTCAGTCACTCCCAAAGCATGGCCAGAAAAGGAGCCTAGGAGAGGTGGTGGAGGCGAGGAGTAGGAGAGAAGCAAGGAAGAGGAGGAGGCGGTGGGAAGGCTCTCCCAGGATCCAGTGAGGTGCAGGGAACCACGGGCTAAACGCTGACAGAATGAAGGAAAGGGGTGGGAAGGGAGAGGGTGAGGCGAGGAGGAGGAACAGAGGGAGGAGTGAAGCACTGTAAAGTTGTATCCCAGTCTCATGAGCCTGGGTGGCTGGATGGTGAGACATCCTGGAAATATTTACAAACTCACAGTGGACGTGACTTTGTAATTATTGAAGCAGAGGCCATGTCAGAAATGCACAAAACAGGGGAAACGCCCCCCCCGGCGGCGTCTCATAAAGAGGCGAAATGCTGAACGGCGATTTTAAGAAAATAACGACACAGAGGATAATACGAGAATCTCCACGTCTCCTCCTGCTGGTCATTTCTCCCCCGCCTCATCCTGCTTCTACCACTTTCCCTTTTCTGCCTCTTCCAAGCAACGCTCCCCCCCCCCCCCCCCCTCCCCCTCCCTCTCGCCATCCACCCCTCCTTCGATCTCCTCCCTGCTCTGCTCTGCTGGAGCTCAAATCACAACCCCAGTCCCTGGCAGATGGAGGATAGGAAAGAGAAGCTCTTAACTAGCCAGCCTGAGCCGCTGCTCTCTGCACACCAACTGCTGCCTGCCTCCCCTCCCTGCCTCCAGAACAGCTACCACTACATGCACCCCACCCACCCCCAGCACCTCTGGGGACACGGTATCCTTCTGGGGAATGGTGCGTGTATTAGTCCGTATCTGGACACACTAGAAAGGACATGGAAACATAATAGATGGATGTTATTTATCACTACATAACCTTATGGGGCAGAGCAGCGTTTGCGAGGAGAGGGTTAGTAAATATCGTTTTGCTGTCAAACAAGCGCCGTCTTTCTACTTCAGTGAGCGAGGACACAGAGTCAGAAGACGGCGTAATGTGAAGCGAGCTGGAGGTTAGACGGCGTGACAGCTGAAGAAAGCGGCGACACGTCGGGTCCAAAGCGCAGATGAGAAATCACGAACGACTGCGGCGATGCAAAACCAGGAGGGAAATAAACAGGCCAAAGTGCTCCTTGGGCGCTTAAGTGCCTTTGACTGCCCCCGACTCTGCTTTTATCTGGGCTCATCTGGCGACCGCGGCTCGGCCTGGCATGAGCCTGACCACCAGTTGCGGTCTGAGGGAGAAACTGCTCCTCTGTGCTATTTGCAGCCCTGTCTGTCCAAAGGAATCTGGTGCGCTGACTGTCACTCAGTGGCCATGTGTGTTTTTTATCACTAATTCTACCACAGGGATGTGGTTGTCCATATGACCACTGTGGAGGCTGCTGCCCCGAGGCGAGCTGACATTGTCTGTGTAGAACGACCAGACGTTGATGTAGGGGCTGCTCAAATGCTGCTTCAATATCAAGACACACACACACACACACGCAGGCAGGCATACTGAGCGGTGCCTGGCCAATTGCTGAGACTGATGTTCCTTTCAGCCATCATATGGCTGACACTTAAGTTTTTTTCCCTGCCAACCTTGTGTCAGTTCCTGGCTGCTCCGGCCAGCAGTGATGGAGACGCTGTAACCGACTGTGGTCGGGGCCACTGGCCGCGGGGCTGCTGTGCCCCTTTGAGTTGGGGTGCGATGGGGGTGGGGGCTGCTGCTTGGCCTGTCAACTGGTTGTGACTGGAGCACGTCTGGTCACAGATCCAAACTGGACAGCTCGCTCTTTCTCTGCAGCTAGTGCCATCATCCTGCAGAAAGGCACACGGCGTATAGCTGCCACTCTGCTCCAGTACAGCATATGCTCCAGTTGAGGGTCCGACATGTTCAGTCCAAAACGCCTGAGAGAGTCGCCTCACGTGTCTAACCGGCTGCTGGGAGCACATGTGCACTGTGGGTAAAAGAGAAAATGATCGTGGTGCAGCTCAACCCAGAGACAACCCAAATAAAAGGCGGGACTTTAATCAACGTTAGATAAATTAATTTGTTTCAGTGATTAAACACAGAAACTAGCTGAACGCTCTCTCTCATTGTCCCAGTGCACTTCACAGGCTACTCAATCAACGCTAATGAATTAAGGATGAATTAGTAACCGGAGTGCATTTCTCTGCTAATCTGTGGAAGGTGTGCTGTTTGCGTCTCAGTCACAAACTGCTAGGCTGGAAGAGGATGGAGGGGAAAAAATTCAAACTGTGCCATCACTGGATTGGGAAGACGTGGAGGGATGAGGCAGACATGAAAGTTGGCCTATTTCATGGTCAGGCTGCGGGACCGCCGAGGCCCTGAATGGCAATGCATCTACTTTAATGTGACAGACGAGTCCCTAGGCAAAACCGGCAGAGCCGCGGCAGGCAAGCGGGCCCAGGTACTTGATGAGTGTGACACCTTCGCCGTCCCGCTGTAGAAATGTTGCTGCCGCACGCTCCGCTGCCTCGGTTTAGAATAACACCAAATAAACTCGCCTCTCATCCCGCCTGACGACGCGTCCCCAGAACCTGTCCTCCCCAGCACTGTCGGGATCACCGATCTCCTTGCAGCCGCTCACAGGGCTTTGCTCCGATCGCTAAGCACTTGCCTTTGGGACCCACCTGCCGAGGAAAAGACACGTCCTCTCATGGCGATGCCGTTTGCCCAATCGGGCGGAGAAGGACGAGCGTGCGCGTTGGGTTTCCGGCGAGCGCCCGGAGGCGTCACGCCGCCTACCCACATGCACTCGCAAATCATCTTTCCACGGCATAGGTAGTTCTATACGAGCGCTTGACCTTACCTAGCGCTATCACTCAGGGCTACGAAGCGCGCGGTCAAGTGCAACCTTTATTCTATATCGGCCTATTAGGAGCCACGCAGTGTTGCGATGGAGCGAGCCTGCCTGCGCATGTGTGCGTCTAAGCGAGCTGGTGAGCGCCGAGCTGATCTATTGCAGTCCTGGGATGAGAGGGCCCAGGAGTTCATTAGGCTGCGGCTCAGGAGAGCAGCCGCGGGGAGCTGCACTGTAGCCGAGTGTTGCCAGGAGGCTGAGCTGCAAGTCCGGTGGGGAGGGCTGCTGTTGATGTCCGTGGCATGTTTGCTAACAGCCTGATTCCATCAAGTGGTGTAAAAGCAGCGCAGCCAAGTGTGAGGGCTGACCCCTGGCACCTTCCTATTTTTAACAACACAGTATCTCAGTCAAAGGTAGACAGTTCAGTCAAGCACTTGTGGTGTGTAAATGATGCTAATATTCATGCAGTCGTACGTTTGGGAGAGAAAAAAAATAACAAGCGATGCGAAGCAAAAGAGCACAAGACTCCATCTGACTATCTTACAGTTACTTTCGCTTATATGCCCTTTATCTGGAGGGCAAAGATCTAAAATGCACTCTCAGTTTTTCATCTCCATACTCCCACAACCCTTGTAAATGCATCAGAAGAGCAGAATACTACAAAATATTAAATACTCTTGAAGAGAAAAGAAAAAATGAGGCTCAAAGGCATTTCACTGGACACTGAGAGGAAAAAACAAGTATCTGCAAAACAGAACAAAACAAAAATGTGATAAAAGGCTGGTTTGCATGAGGGTCTAGTGAACAAATCCGTTCTCCTCCTTTCCCATTTTGCCAGAATGAAAATAATCCTAAGAATAGTTGTGATTCATAAGAGATAGGTATTGCACAGACACTACCCATATTTCATCATTTATTACACGGCTAAAAGAAAAAAATGACTCAAGTAGTCCAAATAACGACAGGCAGAAGACAAGCAATGTGCGGTGGCTTCCATTCCAAACAGGCTCCTAGCGTGTTACCTTGGCACGAGGCTGTTAGGTCTACACGTAAAACAGGGAATTGAACCGCTTCTTCGTGGCGGGGTCCTTCACGTTGACTTGGCCATATGGACACTGGGGGAGACGAGAGATAAATTAGCGCCGGTTAACAGCTGCATGTGGAGCAGAGCTTTAGTCACACTGAGAACGACACATGAGAAGCAGATCGAGCAAAGGAAAAAAGGACGAGTCGGATAAGGACAGGGGGGAAGACGGAATGGGATGGGACGGGGCGAAAGCAAAACCCAGAGCAGGGATGGAGAGTGGACAACGAGACTCGGTGGGACAGAGCAAAGCAGATATGAGCAGAGCGGGGCTGACACCGTCAGAAAACCCACAACACGTCTGTGTAGTTGGTTTGTTACACACGGATGAACCGCTCAGCTTTGCATTTCACCATCACCGATCCTTAGTCTGGAAACTTGAAACCAGCAGAGGTCAGGAATGATGCTGAGAAAATAGATCCCCAAACTCTGAGCAGATGAGCCTTTCTGCTAATGTCACGCTCACGTCTCAAGTCTGTGTCACAGAGTCAAACCTAGAATTTGATCTTAACCATATTTACTGCTGTGATCTCAGCTGAACCGTCAGGAAGGATTATTATTATGATGCCTTCGTGTCCTCAGACTGGACTAATTCAGCGTGCGTTGGTCTCACTTGCTGTCCAAAATGCGACCGTGAGGCTCCTCGGTCCTCGAGCTCGGCGATCAGAGCTCTGATTGTTGTAGCGAAGCCGTGCATCCATATAAAACCTGCAGGTCTTTGACGGCGTTGGAGGTTCTTCTGTCACGGCGGGGTGCGCCGATGTGTGTGGAAACAGGACCCAAAAGCAGATGATGACGAGGAATTGTAATGATTAACAGAAAGGTGAACCTTTAATGCGATGACGGCAGGGAAATGAACCAAGAGACCAAAAACAAACAGGCAAAACACTAAGAAACAAAATACTAAATGGTACTGAGACCAAAACCTAAACTATGACTGTGGTGGAAAAATAATAAACAAAGACCATGACTAAGACTAATAATACATAACAGATGAAAACTAGAACTATGACTGAGGTGAGGTAAACAGGCTAAGACCATGACTAAAACTGTGACCCTGGTGAGATAAACAGACGAACCGACAATGGCATGAAGAAAACAAAAAGCTTAAATACAGACATGAGGTGATCAGGGGAAGTGGGGACACATGGGGGAAACAGCTGACAGACATAAACCTAATGACAGGACCAGGAGAGAAAGCTAAATACAATGAACAAAGAACACATGACATTGTCAAAATAAAACAGGAAATACTAACAACTAAACATGACAACACAACAGACCCAACACGTGATGAATAAATACCAAACCCCAAAACATAGAAAACCCAGGAACAATAACCAATAACTGCCTAAACTAAAGGCAAAATAGGAAATAACACAAACTAATAACATATCAAAAAATACAAAGAAAACTCAGAGTGCTGGGTCGGAGACCCAGCCTGTGACAGAGCCCCCCCTCAAGGGCGGATTCCAGACGCCCGAAAACACCCAGAAAACAAAACCACAACAACCCACCAAGGGCGGGCGGCGGGGGCCCAGGACGGAGGGCCAGAAACAAGGCCACAAAAAACAAAGAAACGAAAACACACAGAGCAAACACAACAATGGCACAAAAAGTCCGAGACCCGACTTCAGGAGGGCGACCATGAACCCGGCAGAACAGGAGCGAATGGCGAAGCGGTTCAGGTGGCCGCCCCGGAGGCCGACAACAAAACAAAAGACAGTTCAAAAGTTCAGGAGGCCGACCAGGAGGCCAACGGTCCAGCAGTCCAAAATCCATGAGCTCAGGGGGCCGACCCGGAGGCCAACGGTCCAAGAGCCCAGAAAACAGTTCAGGAGGCCGGCCAGGTAGAAGGCACCGGTGGCGACGGAGCAGATCAGGAGGCCGACCGGGCGGGAGGCAGCGACGGCGACCGAGCAGGTCAGGAGGCCGGCCGGGCGGGAGGCACAGGTGGCGTAGCAGTTCAGGGGGCCGTCCATGACGGCGGCGTAGTTCAGAGGGCTGTCCATGACGGCAACGACGTCCAGTCATCGGCCGGACAGAACGTGCAGGACGAGCAGGCCGGACAGGATGTGCAGATCGGACCGGACGCGCAGGCCGGACAGGATGTGCAGATCGGACCGGACGTGCAGGACGAGCAGGCCGGACAGGACGTGCAGGCCGGACAGGACGTGCAGGACGAGCAGGACGTGCAGGACGTGCAGGACGAGACGAAGCTGAACACTCGGAGGCCGGACCAGGCGGAGCTGCAGAGGCTGAGGCCGGACCAGGCGGAGCTGCAGAGGCTGAGGCCGGACCAGGCGGAGCTGCAGAGGCTGAGGCCGGACCAGGCGGAGCTGCAGAGGCTGAGGCGGACCAGGCGGAGCAGCAGAGGCAGAGGCCGGACCAGGCGGAGCTGCAGAGGCTGAGGCCGGACCAGGCGGAGCTGCAGAGGCTGAGGCCGGACCAGGCGGAGCAGCAGAGGCTGAGGCCGGACCAGGCGGAGCAGCAGAGGCAGAGGCCGGACCCGACGAGGATGAAGACTCTGACGAAGCTGGACCAGACGACGATGACGACTCTGACGAAGCTGGACCAGACGAGGATGAAGACTCGGATGAAGCTGGACCAGGTGACGACGAGGCGGCCGCAGGTGGCGGCTGAACGGTCCCCTCGGACCCTCCAGCTGACGAGGCATGAGGCTGGACGGGCTCCTCGGGCCCTCCAGCTGACGAGGCAGGTTACTTTTCAAGTTGCAGCAACACACAGTCTATAGTGGGTGAAATGAGTTCGTATGAGTTCTCAGACTGAGGTGTGGCAGAACCAGGTGAGGCGTCGTCCTCAGGCTGAGGCGTAGAAGCAGCAAGCAGTAGCGCAGCAGGTGGTGGTCCTGCAGGCGGCGGCACGGGAGCCGCAGGAGGCGGCGCTGCAGCCACAGGTGGTGAAGCAGAAGGTGGCCAGACGGGCTCCTCAGGCCCTCCAGCTGACGAGGCGTGAGGCTGGACGGGCTCCTTGGGCCCGCCAGCTGACGTGGCGTGAGGCTGGCTGGGTTCTCCTGAACCTCCAGCAGACGAAACATGAGGCTGGCTGGGTTCTCCTGAACCTCCAGCAGACGAAACATGAAGCTGGCTGGGTTTTCCTGAACCTCCAGCAGACGAAACATGAGGCTGGCTGGGTTCTCCTGAACCTCCAGCAGACGAAACATGAAGCTGGCTGGGTTTTCCTGAACCTCCAGCAAACGAAACATGAGGCCGGACGGGCTCCCCGGGCCCTCCGACTGACACTGAAATTGGCTGCACCAGCTGTACCTCCGTCTCCAAACCGGCCTGGATAGCAGTCCCACAGCAGCTTAGCTGAGCCTGATGGCTAGCTTTTCCAGGGCAAACAGTCTCTGTATAGCCGGGCTCATTAACCGGAAAAGTAGTGTCAGTTTCCATAACCTCCGGAGAAAAAACATGAGGTGCCAAGATATAATCACTCACTTGTGTTTGTGTAATGGAGCGTCGGCGGCGCGCACGCCGCTTTTTCTTAGGAGTGGAAGACGGCGGTGAAATAGGTGGAAGTCCCTGGTAACTCCGAGGTCCCCCGAGAGCCAGTCGAGTTCCCCGGAAAGAGTGCTCGTGCTCCGGAATGAGCCACGGCTTCCACCGGAGCTCCTCCTCCAATAGAGCGCAGTATATCGACTGACGCTCGTCGTGATCTAAATCAACGGTGTCCAGCGCTTCCTCGCGCTGGACCGTGGCAGGAGTATGGCGAGACTGTGATGAGGGCGTGGAAACTGGTGAGCTGAGAGGTGGTGACGCTGTGGCGAATCTCAGCGAACCGACACGAACACACTCAGGTTCCGGAGGCAGCAATGGAGATGACTGATTGTGGGGTTGTTGTGACTGGTGGGTGCTGGAAGCCATTTCCTGACTCGACAGTGCCTGGGCCTGCAGCATCTCCTTTATCCTGGTAAAGGCAGCAACTATGGCAGGTGAGTCCGGGAGCTGGAGAAGGCGGGGATCCCTCTCCATAATAGCTTCAGCAACGTTAACCATTACCTGCTTGCTCTTTAAATCGGGCGCTGTAAAGATGCGGTCGAGGATCACTTGGATCCGAGCAGTCTCCTCCAGACACTCGGTGAGAGCAGCATCCGCTGGGTCCATACTGGTCGGTTCGTTCTGTCACGGCGGGGTGCGCCGATGTGTGTGGAAACAGGACCCAAAAGCAGATGATGACGAGGAATTGTAATGATTAACAGAAAGGTGAACCTTTAATGCGATGACGGCAGGGAAATGAACCAAGAGACCAAAAACAAACAGGCAAAACACTAAGAAACAAAATACTAAATGGTACTGAGACCAAAACCTAAACTATGACTGTGGTGGAAAAATAATAAACAAAGACCATGACTAAGACTAATAATACATAACAGATGAAAACTAGAACTATGACTGAGGTGAGGTAAACAGGCTAAGACCATGACTAAAACTGTGACCCTGGTGAGATAAACAGACGAACCGACAATGGCATGAAGAAAACAAAAAGCTTAAATACAGACATGAGGTGATCAGGGGAAGTGGGGACACATGGGGGAAACAGCTGACAGACATAAACCTAATGACAGGACCAGGAGAGAAAGCTAAATACAATGAACAAAGAACACATGACATTGTCAAAATAAAACAGGAAATACTAACAACTAAACATGACAACACAACAGACCCAACACGTGATGAATAAATACCAAACCCCAAAACATAGAAAACCCAGGAACAATAACCAATAACTGCCTAAACTAAAGGCAAAATAGGAAATAACACAAACTAATAACATATCAAAAAATACAAAGAAAACTCAGAGTGCTGGGTCGGAGACCCAGCCTGTGACATCTTCGCTCTAACCTGAAGACCGAAGGAGACTGTAGACGGCACTAACTGTTTAAAACATCGATCCTTCTTTGTATAGGCTGTTGTGTTTGTTGTGGATTGTTGGTGTGCAGCACTTTGTGATCCTTATCTTGAAAGGTGCTGTTATAAAGACAGTTTACATGTTTGTGCCCTTTCATATTTTGATGCAACGTACTGGACCATCTATTTGGTTCCATCCACGTACAGAAAGCAGCCTGGAAACTAACACACAGCGTCATTAGCCCTGTTAGCTCATCCTCTACAACACCATGGAAGCTCCAACCCACCAAACCTGCTTTCGTTTCATGTTTTGTGCTGAAAATAAATGACGAACGTTGGTCAAAACTGCTCTGGCAGAACCACGGTTTACAAACGAGGTCGGTTACCGTTGGAAACAGACAGGATCAAACGTGCAGGGTGGGAAAAACACGGCAGAGGACAAAAGCAGGGAGAAAAACCAGTAAAAACAAAGAGCTCACGTGTCTGCACGCGCTGCCGCAGCACTTCCCTCTCTGAAGGTGGGCATACTCTGTGAACACCTTATACCCGCTGGAAGGGTCAACGTACATCTGCTTCTTTGCCTGAGCATAATGAAGATATTACCATTCAATTAGAGCGACACACAAACACGTGGCGGGATGTGAACCGTGCACACAGAAATACATACGATACATATACTCACCCAAACACAAGGACGCCTGCAAGAAAAATAGTGCCTAAGAACGTATGCAGAGACAGATTGCTGTGGTTCAACGAGAAGGAGGACTGGGTGACCTCTGAGCATAGAAACAGATGTAAGACACCCTCATTCTTAAGATATTACTAATTAATTAGCGTGCAATTCAGTAGTGAGAATACGCTATGACTAATCCGCTGGTAGCCCTGAAACCTGCACGTCGTTCTGACAATTTTCAGGATGGTGAAAAATCAACTTTACAGACAGTCGTTGTTTTATTTGGTGCAGTTATTCGTCTTGCACAAAAACACCTTCTGTAAGTGGAAAAAGCCTGAACTCCTCTCCATCCCTTAGGAAGTTCCAAAATGTCATCTCTCAGTCTGTTTCAAACTGAGAGCCACTAGTTGGTGAGCTTTGACAGGCCACAAAGGGAAAAAGGCCCCAGGCCCTTTGGTGACACGGCTTGTCATTTCACATGCCATTGCAAGGCCACATAGTGAAGCTGGCATAGCTGGGCCCCCTCTGTATTGTACTTTTCCCACCCAGGCCCTACCGCTCTCCTCAGGTCGCGGCCAACTTGCCTCAACTTCATCCACACTCCGAAGCACAATATTTACAACAGATAAGCCTAAAGGCACGCGGATGACACCTATTCACCGCTGTCATCAGCACAGCTCGCTGGTTCTGCTCCATGGAAGAGCAAGTGAGATTTGGTGAATATGATGGATCTAGCACAAACAATCAGCATCATTTCTTTGGGGCAGCGGGCAGGTATTCTCCTCTGTGTGAAAGTTCACAACAATAACAGGTGGACACAGACACCGCCTACGTTCAGGCGCCGTTTCGTACCTCTTTCCAATACCTACACTTTCACTGCAAAATAATTAAGATGTTTATCTCGGGTTAGAATGGAAAGACTGAGTCAAAAATCATCAGTGGTTTCATCTTCCTAAATGTCACTTGGTTAAGGGCTCGGGGGACGTGGAGGAGGGTTGGGGGCACCGCCCTGGGAACAGGAAGGAGATGCATCGTAGCTGCCAGGTTATCGTGCTGCTAACACACGGTGGCCAGTTTGAAAACATTATGCTGGTATTGTTCCAGATTATTGACGTCAGATTTTAACTTGTTACTGTGTTTAAGAGAAAAGACTAATAAAAAAAACTATTCCAACAAAAATGTTGGAGCCTGAAAAGTAAGAGGAGCTAAAAAGAAACAACATTTATCAGTAATCAGGTCAACTGGCAGCAGCTCAGTGACATGAGTGGGTATAAAGAGAGCGTCTTAGAGAGGCAGAGTTTCTCAGAATCAAACACAGGCAGAGGTTCATCAATCTGCAGAAACCTATGATTACAGATTGTGAAACATTTTCAGAATAACGCAGAAAACTGTGAATATCTCATCATCTGCATCATCATCTGTCCCAGAATTATCATCATTTCTCTGTAAAGCGCGTGTAATTAATCACCCGTGGATCTGCGGTCCGATTGTGCTACATGACACGATTGGCTGTCTCAGTGATGCATCTTACCGCACACGCTAGTCTATGGATTCTGTGGATGGCCATCTCGCCCTCTGTGAACTTTCCCGCGGAGGAGGGGTCGTTTTCGCCCCCCGCGTCGCTGACGTCTGCTGCTGTCGTGCCTTCGTCGATCTGTGACGCGCCGCTGTTCGCCGGTGGCTCGGAGCTTTCTCTCGACAGCTTTGGCATCGACATCGCTACGAGTCGTTTATTCAAGTGGAAGCAGAGAAGAACGAGTCTGCAGACAAACGCTTTACTCGGGAAGTTTTTGCGAAACATGCTTCTGCGATAAACCATCTGCAGGTTACAAGCAGGGAGCGGCTTTTATTAAGAGAACAACTGTGACACTGTGTGAGGAAAGAAACGCGAATGCGCCTTTCCCTGCTCATGTTATCTACACTGTTCAAATCCAGCCTCTCCCCACGTTGCTGCACAGAAAGTGTTTTACTTCCTCATCGGCCCCTGGTCACGTGCCACCAATGTGACCGTCACGTAACTCCGACCCACCGGCTCGTGCAGCGCCTCTGCTGTTAGAAAGCTGCCACTACACGGAGGTACAAGTCCACTGTTAGAAAGATCACCAAAACCCACAAATCCTGAATGAAAAAGTGGTGACCTGCTGGAGCGTTATTATTCAGTGTCACACCGATAAACTGAGGCCTTGTTTTCTGTAGCCTCTGCTATAGCATGGGGGTAAACATGCAACATCTATTTCATGGGACTACAATTAGCTTTCTATTAAAGAACTCATCCACCCACTTCTGTCAGGGTCATGGAGCCGAACCCCCTCTTAGGTCAAGACGGAGAGCACACCCTGGACAGGTCTGTGGTGGAACTGAACCCAGGACCTTCTTGCTGTGAGTGCTAACCATGAAAGCCACCAGCAGATATTTCTGTAGCCATTAACAAAAATGTTTGTCCACACATATACTTCTGTGTGTATATGGGTGGTGAAGCATGCTGTCTTTCTTTGCGTGATTGCGCTGCAGAACAAACGCAGACAGCTTTCCATAATAATAAAGTAACATGGTGCCTTGGACGGATAACTGCAAGGTTGGTGAGTGGACATTAATGAGTCCTTTCAAGGTTATCCGCTGCTGCAAGCCACTACTGATGATGCCCCTGTTTCACAATTATGGGTAATGAAACCTGACAAGTGTCTTTTGACTGACATTGTGGAGTCAATTTACCCTCAGACAAATTACACATCACTGATAAAAATATTTGCACGCACAGCATGGAAGGGAAGACATATTTAAACAAAAGCCAAACAAATGATGTATTTTCCAAGGCCCGTTGTTTTCCATCGAAACCTTTTCTATATTTGGCAGTTTTGGCGCATCATCTCATGCTATAAAAGCGACCTGATTAATGTAACAGATGCTTTATAAATTCACTTGGCAACAGACTCCAGAATGATTTTATGTTAACTCTGCTGCAGGCTGCATTTACTCCCTGCTGCACCGTCCCAACATGAACCCTGCTTGTGTCTTTTCGTCTATGTGACATTTCAATTCAAGCTCGCTCCTCAGGTAGATAAAACATGTTTGAAGACGTTCTGTAACAGATTACTGGGATCGCTGAAGGACAGAGAAACAGTGCGTTGTCCTTTTTTCAGCAGCAGGAACTCTTAAATGAATATTATCTGGGCTTTTATTGTTTTATTGTTCACAAATTTCTGCATTTTTTTAGAAATCACAACGTCATGGCAACAGCCCCACCACGATCATTTCATACGTATGCCTGAAACAGCACGGCCCAGGCTGCTGCCATTTAATTACCTTCCAGTCAGCCTGAAGATATCTGCCTCTGATCCCGTCACACTCTCGTGGGGAGAGAAGAAGGTATATCTAAGCCACTGGTTCCAGGTTACCACCAGACAAATACAGCTGAAACGTGTCTCAAGAGTTTAGATAGTAGCATCGAGTTCTGAATTTACTGTGTCATCAAGTGCCAAGAGCTGCTCCTTTGACAAGTAAGTGATCGAGTGTGAGGGCTCGCTTTGTTTGAGATATTACAAGCGAATTAGCTTCAGCTCACGAGGTTTACAGCAGTGAACAAACCCTGTCCCATTAGAATGAAAATAGTGCTCGTTGTGCATGCATTTCCCTTTAAGAGGACAATGACTCATCTCTCTCACAAGCATTGTTTTTAATATAGAGTTCTGGAGAAGATTATGGTGGTCATATAAAAGGATAGGGACTCTACACGGTTTGCTTATATTACTGTGGCACTTTGAGGACATTTTCAGTAGCTTGATACTAGTTTAACAGTAACATCATTGTGCACTGAGACATTGATATTATTCTATTGCACATACTTGTGACACTCTGTAATTATGCAGTTGAAAGTCCAGTCATCGCAGCCTCTTCTGCACAATAACACCAAACCCCACGCTGTACCTGCTGCATACCAACAAACACTTCAGTGGAGTTGTGGGAGGTGCAAACACCGCTCTTTGATGTTCATCACACAGATCAATCGTACAAACAACGGTTTTTACTTCACCGCTACCACGGAGCGTCAGGTGAAGCCTTTTTCCAGCACCTCCTCCAACACGGAAGAAGTCCTCGTGTGTTCTCTGCCGCTAGAATCCAGTGCGTATGATGCATTGTTTTAAAAACACACAAAAGGTATTATAGCTTCTTTTTTTTTTACATTCATGGCCTGTACATGTGAGGCAGACGTAATATCTGAAGTAGATTTTTTCATTGTAATCTTACGTATTAGACCCAAGGAAACAGGGCGACAGATAAAGGCGCTCATCAGGAAGAAGAAAAACCACCAACAGCAACAAACACAAGAGAAACTCACCTTATGAGCAGCCTGATCGACAGTACCGAAGGGCCAGAAAGACCACAGAAGACAATACGGGACTTGAGAACAGAATTATTTCTATAGTTAAGAAAATGTTTTACATCTAACCAAGTCAGGAAGACTCTGGAGGTAACACTGTCAAGGCCTACAATCGAGATGCCTTCAGAAACAGAAATACAGCAAGTAAAAAAATAAGGTTCAAACCAATAGTTAGACCCAAGAACGGCACATATCTGCTCCGTTACTTTTCTTTATTCTTCGTTTTTCCAGTTACTGTGGACAGATGAAACACAGGTTAACCTGAACCACAACAACAGGAGAAATATGGAGAAGGAGGGAAACAGTTTGTGCTCTGATGTGTTTATTACTGATAAAAGTAACAGGATGAATTGTGACATGCAAGGCTTTGTACTCTCTGCTGAGATTCAGACAAATGCTGCAAACTGACTGGACCCCACGTCTCAGTGCAGATGGATCCAAAACACACTGCAAAAGCAACCCGAGACATTCTCAGGCAAAGATAACCTTCAGTGTCCAAGTCAAGTCACCTGATCTCAGCCCAATAAAGGATTCTATTCAAAACTGAATCCAAGGAGCTTGGAAAGAAAAGCATCTTGAAAACTCAACTTCAAGAAACCCAAAGAAGTCCAGATGCTTTCCAATGACCTGGATGATGGAGAGCCTTCACAGACACACAAAACTGAATGCAGAGAGACACACAAACAAGCAGCAACACAAACTGGCTGCAGTAAAGGCCTGGCAGAGCATCTCAAGGGAGGAAGTGATGTCTGTGTCTATGGGACTTCAGCAGTCGTTGACTGCAAAGGATTTTTGTCCAAGTATTAAATCGCCGTCTTCACTGGTTCCCTCTGTTATAGTCTTCGGTCTGTCTCTCAGTGTCAAGTCTTTGCAAATTGTTTCTGGTTTCAATTCAATTCAATTCAATTTTATTTATATAGCGCCAAATCACAACAAAAGTCGCCTCAAGGCGCTTCATAGATACAGAGAAAAAAACCCAACAATCATATGACCCCCTATGAGCAGCACTTTGGCAACAGTGGGAAGGAAAAACTCCCTTTTAACAGGAAGAAACCTCCGGCAGAACCAGGCTCAGGGAGGGGCGGGGCCATCTGCTGTGATTGGTTGGGGTGAGAGAAGGAAGACATGGCCCCTGTTTTACTTTGAAGGGCCATGTCCTATGTCAGTGTATTCAGTTTCACTTCCCCCTGTCTTGTTAGCTCTAATTTGTCCCAGCTGTGTCTCCCTCCTGTTTCCTATTCCCTGATTACGCCACTGTGTTTATAAGCCCTTTGTTTGCCTTTGCTTTCTGTGGCATTGTTAATGTGTCCTACCCGCCACATGCTGTGTGTTTGTTGCATGTTAGTCTCACAGTTTTGCTCCTTAGTTCCCATCTTCAGAGTTTTAGTTTTGTGAGTTTGATTTTCAGGAGTTTTTTCTAGCAATAAAACTGCGTTTTGAGTTTAACCTCCGGGTTTTGAGTCCTGCTCTTGAGTCCACCTTTCCGGCCTGCCTACCACACAGCCCATCATCACAGGCTGTAATTAAGGAGAATGCAAACCTTGTGTGAAAACATATTGAAACATATTAAACCTGAAAGCCTAAAAGTTGGTCACATATTAATTATTTTAGTTAAACTCCACTGTGATGCTGCACAGACCCAGATAAGAAAAAACTGTGGATGTGGATTTAACTGTATGAGCCAAGGATGCATTTACTCATACGCTGAGTAAGAGTCACCTGTTAATAATCGGGGCTCCAGTGTTAACTGTAAACATTAAAGTTACATGTGCGTAGGTTTACCAACAGAGAGGCCCTGGCAAGAAATAGTGAAATAAACCCCGAAGTAAGAGATGGCTAATCTAAACATTTTGATGACCATAAAGCATAAATCCATACGTCTGCTCCACAGCGTACTCAAAAGATGCAGTTTGTGTTTTTTCATTTCCAGAGGTGGACACATGGACCTGCGTGCAGGAAGGTATGATGAGAATTAGCAGACTGTCATAGGGGTTTGATAAAAATGGTAAAGAGAGCTGAAGGTATGTTTGCTGATGTAGTTGTTGTAGGAAGTTACAAGGCTGCAGTGCAGATGGTGCTGATAACATTAGTTTTTACATTTTTAACTATTAATTATTCCTGACAGGGCTGCAGGATTAGACTGAACAGTAAGTGAGCTGTAGGGTTCAGAGTCTGTTCCGATCTTTAGGAGCCATTAGCACAGATTAAGATGTTATCATTGTCACGTTGCTTCTGTCGAGCCCAAACCCACATGCCGCCGTCTGTGCGTCGTGTATGCATCCTGTCACACAGCAGACAACAATTGGCAGCTTCATTATAAGCTTAGAGAACCATGTGATTCTTGTGCTGGACTAAGATACAGCATTTCCGGTGTTATGAACACAGCATGCAGCACACAGTTTATCAGTGCACGGTGTAATAATAATACAGTAACAATGCATCCAGTCACTGTATGCATGATGTGAAACAGGTTTATCATATGTAACAAACCCACAGAGATTTGTCTTCTCAGCTCTCCTGACTGTTTCTGCATTTTTCAGCCGATTGTTTTGGCTTTTGTGGTTTTGGGTGAGTCGTTTTGGTTTAAGTCACTCTTGTCTGCAAATATAATAAATATGCTGAATAGTCCCAGCTCAGCAACAAGCAGCGCACATTTCGAGAACCAAAACACCTGCAGCTACTACTTCAGTTAGTAGCTTTAGATATGCACAAATAACAATTCAGTCAGGGGTTCCACAGGGATCCGTTCTTGGTCCATTACTCTTTAACTGTTACACGTTCCTGCTCAGTTCTGTCGTAACGAATCATAATGTATTCCACCACGTTGCACTTGCTGCTTCCCTCTGATGATCTAACCCTTGTTCACAAACTAATAAGCACTGATGACATTCACTGTTGGAGATCTAGAAAGTTTTCTTGAACAGAAACAAGACAGATGTATTTCCTCTCTGAGGAAATATATCTCTGTCTCTTCTTATCTCAAATTGATTCAGAGAAACTGGCTCGTGCATTCACATCGAGCAGGTTTGACTATGTTAACGCTCCATTTGAGTCCTTTATTTAAATTTTTACTTTTTAATTATTTTATTTGCATTTTTCTAATCACTAGGGTTTGAGAGTAATGCAATTTCTATTCTGTGTATGTCCTGTACATGTGGCAGAATTGACAAATAAAGTTGACTTGACTTGACTTAAACAAAAGTGGAAATATTAACATATTATCCGAGTACTGAACGCACTCCACTGGCTCCCAGTTCAACACAGAATTTATGAATTAGAATTCCTAATTCACAAAGCTCTCGATAGTCTGGCCCCGCAGCACATCTCTGACCTGCTCACTGTTTATAACCCAATGAGTCATCTCAGGTCATCAGGTGCAGATTTGGACTGTTCTCAGAGTCAGACCTCCGTGCTGAGGGTACTTTCAGGTACTGTGGTCCTGTTCTTGAAGTAAGCTGCCCGCTGACCTGAGGTCAGTTTAAAAACAGACTTTTTTATTCTCTCAGCCTTACACTTATCAACCATGTGTGTGTTTAACTTGGACTATTTCACTGTTTTCATTATCTTAAGGTACTGAAGACTTTTTAAAAATCTTTACGCTCATTTAGTTAGAAATAAAACAAAGACTATTTGTAGCTTATATCCGTGTTTGTTGGACAAAATCAGTTGTTTTCCTACTTTTAGCCCCCTCAGCGGCTCCCAGGGCCGCACTGAAGCTACTGCTGCCATAGATATTGAACTAATAACACAGTCTCGTGGGGAAAGCCGTTTAAAAATAATAACAATAATGAAAAAAATACCAAAACCGTGAATCACACGGCTCAGGCCTGCTGTGCGCATCGCGCTTGTTACTCAGCGTAAGTGCAGGGAGCCGCCGGCGGGCAGACGAGCAGCAGCCGCTCACTGCAGCAGCCAAGGTGCTCGTCGGACGCGCTGACGTCACCAAATCTTTGACAGCACTTCCTGGATGGTGTTTGTTGTGGGAAATAGCCGCGGAGGCGCTGAATCGTGGATTTAGGCCACATAAGCGGCAGGAAAGACGGCACCGACTGCCACGATATCGCACCTCCAGGCATGCGGACGCGGCACCTTCCGAACAGTGTCCGATAAACGCGAAGCAGAGACGGGCTGAGGCTGAAAGAAGGACGAGGTGGAAATACTGTCGGACAGCCCTCAGAGCAAAGCCCCCCGACAGCACGGAGCTGTCGCGATGTTGTAACTAGACCATGGACAGCAGGATAAAGTAAGAGCTCCGAGTGTTTGTCCTCTCTGCTGTCGCTTCTATGCTAAAGGCTAACGCGTGCTTGAATAACGCTAAACGGGAGCTGCGTGCGTAAATGCGAAGGAATGTCTGGCGTAATTTGAGCCATCATCTCCAGCAGTGGCTTTAACAGCGAGGCCAGCTGGCTGCTCCGCATTTGGGTCAGTCTGTCGGCGTGTCTGCTAGCTGACCACCAATTAGCAGCTCCGCTAGCCGAGCAGACGGACACCGGTCGCTCGGTGCCGTGAACGAGCCGTGTCCCGTGACCTGAGCTCGATAACGTTAGAGATCAAAGAGCCCGTCTTTCTTTCAATCCAAAGCTCCGATGGCACAAGTGGGTACACCTGCATACCTGTGCACTGGAATGCGACCCAGCGGCTGTGCGCACTTTGTGCCCGAGCTTGTGGATGTAACACCTGCTTTTATTCCCCCTCAGCTCTCAGTAAACACTGTTTCATTCTTTTCAGGGAGAATCCAGAAAGAACATTTGATCTGGTTGTACAGGTGGCGTGTCCAACATCTGAAAATGAGGGTAGGTGATCTTCCATTTATAACTTTCAGCCTGTGTGCGCACAACTTATTTATAAAACTTTAATGTTGTGCGTGATTCATAGAGCTGTGATCAAATTATCAGCCTGTTAATTTCCTGTTTAACAACATAAATGAACTGCTTACTTATTTGTTCCCTTTCTGCTCAGTTAATGAAAGCCTGACGTGGCATTTCGTGGACAACTTCTGACCTTAAACCATTCAGTTTTAACACGTGTCTGTACCAAAATGCCCGTGAATCTCTGGCTCATTTCTGTAAGAAAGAAGCATTTTTGGTTTCCAGCAACTGAGAGGACGAGTATGCCTTTTGATTTCCTAACTTAATAAACGCATGCAGGATGCACATGTGTACTGCTCCAATGAAGCTCAGGTATACTGCATTTTATCTGAGTGCAGTTTCCCCCAGCTCTGTCACTAAGTACATAAATGGAAGTGAAAGTTTGCTTTTAGGGTCTTCCTCAATAGTCTTCTTTCACTTGCAGATTCCTTTTTTCTGACTCTGTAGCCTTTAAACTGTTCCAGTCCTGTCTGCTAATCGTTGGATCCCTGCGTCTCGTGCTGACCCTAAGGCCTCTTGCGAGAGTCAAATGTGCAGACTCTTGTGAAGTAACAGATACTGTGGGATGATGGAACAAGAAATTAGAGAAAGTGTGTGGGCTCGTGCAAAGAGACGACCTTAGCTGGAAAATGAGAATTCATGGTCATTTCACCGACATGTGACAAAGTCATCTTGTGCTTTCTGATATAGACGTTTTTTCTCAGTTTGTAACACCAGTAATTGTAACGCAGAAAGGACGGCGTGTGTGATGGGGTAGTTTGTAAATACACTGGAGCAACAGCAGGCACCACAGGACTTCACTCCTGCATGAGTCCAGACTCGAACAATGAGGGTGCTCATTATGGTTTTGGTTTTATGTGATTCAGAGTTTAGTCTGTCAAGATCCTAAGGACGAGAGGAGGTCATGACCCGGTTTGGCTGTAAAAGTGAAACTGGGAGTAGCTGTTAGCAGCTGTAATATCGTACTGTTAGCGTCGTACAGTCTTCATTTATTTGACAGATTTGCCTGAGCACGAGTTCACCAATGTAGACATTTTTCTGGCAACCGTGACCCCGCGAGGATTGTTTGGAGAAAGATGGTGCTTGGGTCAGCAGGCTGCATTAACTGTTCGGCCCTCTGCAGCGGTCAGACATTCCTGTAGTGGGACTATCCTGGGAAATGACTGCAGCCGCTGAAGAACAACATCGGTTTCTACCTTTTTCTGAATATGGGAAATCGAGTAACCCGTGCTTCACATCCATATCCAGTGTTGCTCATAAGTCGGCTATCACTTAAGCGTATTGTAGCTACATGTTAGGCCAGCTGTCTTGGTCTGCTGCTCGGTGCTGACTTGAAAGAGGTGCTATTGGATGGTTCACGTGTGCAGCCGCCGAGCTGACCAGAGCAGACCGAAAGTTGCCCTTGGATCAAATTCTCATATTGGATTTTAAAACCAAACTCATAAACCACTAGCACGCTCTGTAATAACCGACTTCCTCTCCACATGATCTGGGGTTGGACTCATATCCGGACCCCCTGCTCTCTGGAGTGGAGCCACGGAGCTGCGTGTGCACGCCGCGGCTTCGATGAGACGTAGATACTGTGCTGAGGTCTGGTACGACATGAGAACGGCCCCCGTTGGAGGAGTCGCCGTGACGTTAATGTGTCCTGTCTGCCAGGCGGGACTCGTGTTTGCGGTGGTTTTATGTTTCTTTTTAAAAGAAGCAGTTTCAGACGACCGTATGAGGAATGAGTCATTTCTCCTCTGATTCTCACCAATTTCCCTTTCTTTGACTTGGCTTTCGGTGAAGCGAGCGTGAAACAAAACACTTCGCAAAGGTTACAGCTGTCAGAGCGGTCTATTGTTTTACCGGCGCGTCACTATTCTATATGTATTCATGCGAGAAGCCCTGACATATGCGATTCTCCTTCCTCTGGAGCTGAATGAGTTAATGCTGTGACTCACAACAAACGGGCTCTGGCCGCGCTGTGAAACCAACATGCTCGCTCGCCACAAGCTAGAGCTGTTTTCCCTGCAACCGAGTATTAGGTACTTTGCCAAAGAGTGCCACTTCACATTCACACATAATCTTCCAACTGCCTCACATAGACACATAAACAAAAATGCAGTCATGATAGACTATAATTAAATTGTCATAGCAACATGATGTAGAACGTGCGAGCGTTTGCAGAAGTGGAGGAGGGTTTAAGTTTCCTTGTGCTGTTCTCACATCTCCTCCACAGTTTAGGGAATACAAGTTTAATTTTAGACGGATTTTTTGGCTGGATTTCACTTGTTGTGTGCACGCCCTCTTCCAGCAGTTTGGTTTCAACTCAAATGCTTTCAGGCGACTGAGGAGGAGTCTCCTTTGAGTGAGCAAAGAGCCTGTGTGAGTTTTGCTGATGCTGCATCACTGTTGTGCCACTTTTCACCACATCCTGGTCCTGCAGGTTGAAACCAGATCCATGTGCGGCAGCGTTACCCCTGCAGTGTTAAAAGCAGCATCCTTTTGTTGCTTTCGGTCATGTTTCAAAGTGCAGGTAAAATTAGCTCAGACCTTTTGATAGTTGGTCAGTGTGTCGACCCTCAAACTTCCTGTGTTAACTGTGTTTCACACCTCCTGCAGTCAGCACTGTGCAAAAAGCCAACACCCACACGCTTAAAGAAAAGCTTAACCTGTCTTTAGTTGTCTCATGATGACTTTCCTCAGTGTACATTTGTGCAGAATAAACATTTATTAGTTGGCAGCTAATTATTTTTGCCCGACACAAAGGCTGACATTTGAGATCTGTGTGACGTCGTTAGTTCTGAATATAAGTAACCAGCACTGTAACAGCTTTGATGGCTCAAAGGCAACGACTTAGAAAACCTTTGTCTGAATCAGCAGTGCAGTGCACATAAAGGGTTAAACCTTAATGAATTGTGTTAATGGGACAAACCTAAGTAACCAACCTGCAACTTTTCCATTAACCAGTTCACTGAAGCCGTGTGCTGCTTCTGGTTTATGTGGTCATTTGTGGGGTTTATTCACTGTAAGCATGAATTAGGATTTGTTTAAGTGTTCCCTCCAAGAGAACCCGAACCAAATGATACCAGATTAGGTCAGCTGGTCGTTAACTCTGACTCGCCAGCATCTGACTGAGTCCATCTAACAAAGTCTCGTCTGTCAGATGCTTCCCTTCTGTGACTGCTAATAATGACTTTCACTTCCTTCCTGTTGTTATTCCTTTTGAAAGATCAGTCTATTGCAGTTTCAACAACACGGGTCGGAGATCGTTACAGAAACAATAATAGCAGGTTTGGCATTTCAGGGGGAAGTACTCGGACATCATCTGTCATCTGTAAGCACATTTTTGTGGTGCGGGCTCTTCGTTTCTTGAACATTAATGCTGTGGACGGGCTTATTTAGGAACAACAGTGTTCTTACTAGTGCATGTATTGCTTTAGTGAAAGCCAGTAATTACGTTTGACTTGTGTGTAGCTGTCATGTTTAACACTTAACGTCTGTTTGAAGCACACCGAGATTCAGACCCCTGTTTCCATAAAGTGGGTTTGATCAATACACCAGAATTAAAGTATTGGTAATCTATAGTTAATAGCAGGGATGTCACGATACCAGAAGCTTGGGTCCAGTACCAGTACAACATACTTACCCATTCAATACCAAAACAAAATGATCATCCTGTGTACTTAAATATAAGCTCCTAAAGTAAAAGCACATTGTAAAACACTGACATGCTGGCAGATCATTTATTTAAAGTGTTGACTTCATGTTATGTTGATGAGATGTTAGGATGGTTGCCATGTAGCCGGCTAATGTCGCACTGTTACGCTGTGTTAGCATAAGCGTTAACGTTGCCATTGCAAACATTTCAGCCGATGGAACAAAAGCTGGTTTCACAACAGCGGCGCCAGCTTTCTCAGAAATAAATATGGTGACCTGACATTAGAAGAATAATACTTTAGATGTTATTACTGTGAAATGAACAGACTCTCAATTAAATTAATTCAAGGCTCAGGGAGGGGCGGGGCCATCTGCTGTGATTGGTTGAGGTGACTCATGGGGTGAATTCATTGAACCGATATTAATGCAGGTGTGTTATGAGCGCTGCTAGATTGGCTGTATTTCAAAGCACAGTAGTGTTAGTTGCATATTACCTTTTGCAAATTGATCATCACCCCTTGGACTTCCTCAGCTGTAGTTTATGTTGTGCTGCTTGTAGTTTTTCCTGTTCTTGTGGTTCTCTGTCTGCATGTAAGGACGGACTACAACACTTGTAGTTTTACGCCACTCGCTCTGCCTCTGTGCTTATGCTGTTTATGATACCAAAGAAGAACAAGTGTCGTTGCATTTTTAGAGTTTTTGATGCCCTGAGCATAAGTTCTAGTGACATCTGTACTTAATAGTCAACTTGCCTTGTTTGCTACCAGTATGTGAGACCTCCCACACAGCTTAATCTCAAAGATGGCAGATGGCCCCGCCCCTCCCTGAGCCTGGTTCTGTCAGAGGTTTCTTCCTGTTAAAAGGGAGTTTTTCCTTCCCACTGTCGCCAAAGTGCTGCTCATAGGGGCTCATATGATTGTTGGGTTTTCTCTGTATGTATTATTGTAGGGTCTACCTTATAATATAAAGCGCCTTATGGCGACTGTTGTTGTGATTTGTTTTGGGAAAAATAAAACTGAATTGAATGAATCCAAACCTAACATATTGACTCAGAAAGGCCAAAAATACTGCACATACTGTTTGATCGTGCCTGTTGTTGGGCTTGTAGGCTCCACACAAACAATGTTTCATTAGCTATTATGCGTAAAGCCTCCCATGCCTACCTGTGGTTGCCAATGTGGGATTAAAAAGTGTCCCTTCAAGGAAGGGGGTGTAGTGTAGGCCCATTTGTTATTTTTAATTGTTTGAATGTTGTGTAGCTTTCTGCTAAATAAATAAAG